AAAACTCTGGTTCAAAAAGTTTGGCTTTTAGTCACCTGATACAGCAAACGAGTGTTGATGAATGACCAAACAGCATAGAAAAAGCTGCATTTTTGAAAATACCTGTTTATGTGAACAGGGCCTGAATGCGTTCCAAACTGCCAATTCCCTTGAGACAGATACACTCACAAAAGACTCATGAGTCAAAGTAAACTCAGCACACCTGAAGCAACGGTGTGCATGGGGGAAAGAATATATATATATATATATATATATATATATATATATATATATATATATATATATATATATATAAATTAAATATATCACCATGCAAAAACATGCAAAAGGGAAATAATTCCACACACACTATAAACACTTGCAGTATGAATATTTTATTTAATATGACGTTTTGGTCCCATGACCTTGATCAGACCAGTTGAAGGTCATGGGACCGAAATGTCATATATAATAAAACATTTATACAGCCAGTATTGATAGTGTGTGGGTTTGTTTGTTTCCCTGAGGCAAATACAGTAACAAGAGCAGCAGTCTCTAGTCTCTGACTAGTGTGCGTCTTGAGATCATAAGAATACATTAAGTGCAGACCTCCCCAACTGTTCGCTTCTACTCTCAACCCCCTAAACCTCACACCATTTCAGGTCACTGAACCATAACCTCAATAATTCTACTAAAAAAACTGAGTGAGTTTTAAACTGCCAATTCCTGGGAGACCGGCAGACTAATAAGTACACCAGCCTCTAGTGTGTCTCTAGTGTGCCTCGAGAAGAGGGAAGTGAGCTTACTCGTGTAGGTCTCACTTGCTGGCCTCTGATGGCCCCAACTTCACTACAATCCGGATCATGGCATCAATGTAACGCTTCCAACCTTCTCCAAACATGCGATTCCCACTTGGGAAGCAGCCAGGTGCAATAACAAGGACGCTAAAGACCACAGCCTCCAGTGTCTGTTGCTAGTGTGCCTTCTGAGATCAGTAGAGTGAGTTTTACTTTTAATAGACTGCCTTAATTTAACTCGAAGTAACAATGTAGCCAATGCCTCACTTCATTATTCTACTTTTAACATGAATCACCACAGTGGAATGAGCCACAACAGAGTATCAGATACTGTTACTCTGGCATGTGATTAACCAATGGATGTTCTACCATAGAGTGGCTCTTGGCTCAGACTGGATTCAAACCTAGGACTCTCTCGCCATAAGGCAACTGTGGTAGCCAACATGCCACCCTAATAGCAAACGTGACTCCTCTAATTCTAATCAAACTGTACAGAGCAGGATTCAAGCAGGCAATTATGGCCTGGAAGGTGGGCCCAATATCAAGGAGACTTAAGGCTACAGCCTCCAATGTCTGTTGCGTGTATGCCGTGTGAGATCAGGACAATAAAGTTTAGTTACACAGCTTTTACATGCTGGCCTCTATTATACTTTCACTGCAACACAATCCCATCTGGGTCAAGAGGCCAATGTAACCCTTTAAGTTCTAGTCAACTCACTCTGGATTTAAATAGGCTATTCTGGCCTTAGAGGTGGGCACACTAACAAAGAACAAGAGGACATGTATTTACAAATTTCACATGTGCAGTTCTTATTAGCTGGCCTCTGTTAAACTAGTAGTGTTGGACCTTTCAAAAAAACTGCCTTAAAGAATTAGTTTCCTTTCAGAACAAAAAAAAAAAAAAGTGATTTTTGAGGACAGCATTTATGCAGTGGGTGTCCAAACTTGGTCCTGGAGGGCCGGTGTCCTGCAAAGTTTAGTTCCAACCCCATCAAACACATCTGGGCTAGCTAATCAAGCTCTTACTAGGCTTTCTAGAAACATTCATGCAGGTGTGTTGAGTCAAGTTGGAGCTTAAATCTGTAGGACACCGGCCCTCCAGGACAGAGTTTGGACACCCCTGATTTAAGCAATTGTCTATTGACCTTATTCTCCACAGACGAGCAGGCGCTGCCATTTGAATCTTTTTGGCACGAGACTTCCGGTCTCATTTACTTCCATTCATTTTTAGACATTAAAAACTGCTCGTTTCGCTGTTTGATGTTGCAAACTGATATTTCCTTGTTATATTATTCTACTTGGTCTGTATAGTCATGCAAACATTTGTTTGTAGAGCAAGTAGTTTGACCGTTTTTTGCCGTTTATTATTCCTTGTCATTTCTCCCATAGGCGACTGAAACGGAAGTTCTAAGACAATCGCGAAAACAGGCGCACTTCCACATTTTAGAATAAGGTCAATATGAAGGACCTCAGAAGAGCTTGTAATTATAAACTTACAAAATGCCGCTATTTAAATGCAGCTTCAACAAGCTCTACATGATCCCAGCTGAAAGGGGTCTTACCTTGCTAAATGATGTCATTTTTTTAAAAAAATTATAATCTTTATATACACTTTACCCGGGAAAGCTTGTCATGCACTAGCTCTGGGATGAAACATACACATTACATTAACATCTTCGTTCATACATGACATACCTGTCACTAGCAACACAGTGTTTCAAAAGCACACAAACAGGCTATTTTAAACCACAAACTGTGCCTTTCTGAAGTTTACATTTCATTTTGTAAGTCAAGGCCTTCCCTTATAGTTGGCCTCCTGACATTGCATATAGGGGACGCATAAATCTCTGCAAGTTCCCAAAGTTAAACACCTAGGCTGCACCCCACTCCACTTTTTTACATGCACTTGCAAACTTCTCCAAGAACTTCCCCAACCTGCAGTGGGTAATGGAGGGATAGAAAAATACTGGCCTGGCATATGAAATATGGTATTTTTGTCTGTTTTGCGGGTGTGCAAATGTTGAGTTGAAAATGAAGAGTTTTGAAAATGTTATCTTGTAAAAGCAAGAGAACGTTTTTGGCTGCATTGTTGTCATGTAAACATAGCCTCAATTAAACTCCTTTAAACTTTCAGATAGTTGGCAATTGAGCAATGTAATCAATGTCGTATATTGGAATCAATGAGATGGAGGGAAATTATAGAGTGAAGGCCATACAAGTTTAGATTGAAGCAGCCCTACATGCAGATCAGCGCTACAGAGACCCAAATAAGCCAACACTGGACTACAACAATATCCCTGCCAACAAAGTCAATCAATGAATAATAAACAGTTTTTTTATAATATAAATTTGCCGAATGTTTCACAGAAGACCCTGATACCTTGGTTGGGATCATTTAGAGTTCTTTGAAGCAGACTTTTAGACGCTCGAACTTGCAAGCTCTATTGGGGTCCACTATATGGAGAAAACTCTTGAAAAGTTTTCCTGAATAACTATTATTTCTTTACCACTTAGGAAAGAAAGAAATTTCTGACAAGGGAATTAGTAAACTATCTGTGTTTTTGTTATGAAAGTGAACCAATTCTTGAATAGAATAGCATAGATTCAACAGTACTGGAAAACTTTCTCAGAGATTTTTAACCATTTTGACGTGACATCCTCACACAGTTGTGACAGATTTGTTATTTATACATCCATGATGTGAATCATGTTTCACCACATCTCAATAGGGCCCTATTGGATTGAGATCAAGTAAATGTGGAGGCCAATGGAAGCAGTTAACCAGGAATTAACTTTATGACATTGTGCATCATCCTCCTGAAAATACATGAACTGCAACACTACTAAAGTTGGCTGTGACATTTAAACATTGCTTTGTTGCCAAAGAGGAGTTCAAAAGTGTGCCAAAAAAGCAATCACCAACACCATTACACTAAGGAGCGTAAACCAGTGATACAAGTAAGAATGGATTCCTGCTTCAAACGTAGTTTACTCTGAATTCTGACACTACCATCTGAATGTCACAGCAGAAATTGAGACATAGTCTAGGCAATCTTTTTACAATCCTCTATTGTCCAATTTTGATAAGCCTGTGCAAACTTATGTTTCAGCTTCTGGTTTTAGCTGACAGGATTGGCACTAAAATTGATCTTCTGCTGCTTTGGCTCATCTGCTTCTAGGGTCAATGTAAAGCGCATTCAGAGATGCTCTTCAGCAGACCTCAGTTGTAACGAGTGGCTTTTTGTTGCCTTCATCAGCTTGAAACTGTCAGTGTGGTCCATCTCCTCTTACCTTTGGCATCCACAAAACCTTTTACCCACTGAACCGTGCCTCTTTTTCAGACCATTCTCTGTAAACCCTAGAGAAACTTGTGTGAAAATTTTCACTTTTGATGTATTCAGATCAGAACGGCAAGTACACTATACAAATCTGATTCTGATGCCCAGTTTATACTTCGAAAGTTGATCTTGACCTGTCTAGAAGACTAAATGTATGAAGCCGCTGCTATGTTTGGCTGATTAAAAACAGGCAGTTAAGTGAGTAGATGTACATATTTCAAGTACATGTTTTTAAAGGCCAGCTTTATTTTATCCTGCACCGAAATCCTCATCAAACATAACAATTTTATTCACATTTAATAATTAATTTAGTTTTTATTTTCTAACTTTGAAAAGTTTATTTTACTGTTCTACCATTTGCATTTTTAATGCAGTCATCTTGTTCAATCGGGTGATAATTTTGATGATTTGAATTTATTTTAATAATTTGAAATTTAAAGTTTATGATTTTATTTAAAACAGCTTTAAATTTGAAAATTTGAGTGTTTTCGCCAGAGAGAATATACTAATATTAGTATATATATATATATATATACACACACACACACATACACACACACACACACATACACACACACACACACACACACACGCAATTCACTATGAAAGCCCACTCTTAAATCTGATTGAAAAATAATTGCACTGCTCTTTTCACGATTTAAAGTGCTTTTATATCTGTAGTACGAGAGGTGTTGTTCACATCTGAAACCCTAGAAGCTGAACATGGTAAAAAAAAAAACACTTGTCTAAGAACCACTAAATAAAAGCACTCCAGTAAAAGAAGTGCACTAATAAGAACAACACTTCCACCTAGAGGATACTTCCTGACATACAGCATCAGGCTAAAAAATGGTCAGATTGGAGAACCATAACATGGTGTACAATTTTTAATAATCATCAGACTTACACGAGTAAAAAGAAAAATACAAAAGATTAAAAAAAAAAAAATCTTTTTTGTTCAGGAGGAGTGTTATCATAAGGCTCCTAAAATAAAGCTGTCTTTATGCAAATTAAAATCTCAATACAGATAAGGCACTTTTCAATTGTTTTCCGGTACATTCAACTTTGATTTGATTAAATGTAGTGCATTTTGCAACAAAACACATATACATGATAATAAAAAATATTTAGAAATAGTTCAACTGTCTTATACATCAGCTTTTGTAAATTCAACATATGCATGATACATCAAAGTATGAAAGAAGAAAACAAACCTTTAAACAGAAGTCTTATTAATGCAGCATTAACAAAATTGAAGCTTTCTGAAGTGCATTTACGGATCTCTTCTAAAAGTGAATAACTATGTAACAAAGTGTGCATAAGGTTAAGTGTGCGAGAATTGAGTTTGAAAGCTCAAGTCATTTTATAGATGAACAAGAATTTCTGTGACTGCATATGATTTGGTTTAAAAGGTAGATTGTTTGCAGTATCTTACAGGTGTTCAGTTGAAGTCCCGGTCAGTCAGGACTAGTGGAGCAACAAGAGTCCAGAGGTACAGACCCAATCCCAGCCAACTGGAACAAATCTTCACCCAAACTGATGGCATAGTGGTCGTCATGGCTGCATAGTCAGTTTCAGGTCTGAGATTTAATGAGAAAATGAAAAAGAGGAGAAAATAATTGTTCAATTGTGTTTTCCCTTAAAATTTGTGCATGTACACAACACTTCTAAAAATGTTATGGCACTTCAAACATCAGCAGTCAGGTTTCAGGGGTAAAAATGTACAAAATGATTTTTTTTTTCATAGAGAAATACATTTCTAAAAGTTCCCCTGCTGGTGCTTTTTGAAAATTACCCTTCATGCAGCATGTAACAGCTGTAAGTCAAACCATGTATAAAGTTACTGCCTCTCCAAAAGAATTGACTCAGTCTAAAATAGAAATCACAAATCGCTGTTTCTTCATGCTGTCTGAACAAAACATAGCCCAACCAGATGTTGCACCCGCAGACAGGCGAAAACATGCTTTATCAATGAGTTCCAGCATTGGGCTCACACATATACTCTGTATTGCAGCTGATTAAAGTTTCAACATATTCAGTTTGGCCTATATTCAATGCTTAATTTGTAAATAAATAATTCCCAGAACAAAACCAGGAAATAAGTTACCGTGACCAATGTCCACCAAACACTTCAGCTTTCCCTGAACATGACGTCATTAAACAGTGATATCACATTTCTCAACTGTCTTTAATTATTTTTTTTGCCACATAACATTATAGGTCAGTCATGAATAATAAAAGCATGTCGCTACAAAAATAAATCATATAAACAATCACTATTCAGTTTACTTCACTATTATGTCTCAAGCAAAAAAAATAATAATTAAATAACTCACTCAGTCTAATCTTCAAGAAGAGCCCACAGCTACTCTTGTCATGTTTTCTGGCTAACTTGAAATCGCTTTGCTTCTGTCTCCCGCTATCCTGATCCATTTGTTCAGTTTCATCTTCTCGAAATCTCTTTTGATTGATGATTAGGCTCATTAATAGATTTACTCATAGTTTTAAACATTTTTAATATGCTTGACTACCTCTGACATTTTTAAAATACAAATATTATTTAAGTAGACCACCATGCCATTCTTTATTTTAAAGTGGACTTTTGCTTTACCTTGCGCATGGTTACTACCGTCGTGTGTGCGCATACACACAATCCGCACAGCCTTCGCTTGTGGTCATTCACATGCCCTTGCACGCGCACATGCAGGTATTCACCACACACAAGCTTACACTGGATCCATTAAAATAACCACCAGAATGCAAAACATAAATATGACGTTTTCCGGAACAGGATGCGGCAAAATCTGGCTCAAATTAAGCACTGCCTATATTTATGGATTATTTGTAGTGTAGCTTCATTATTTTCAGTGATATTCTATCAGGTTTTTCAATGAAAATTCGCCCAGTTCAGTGCAACACAGAACTTAAAATGCAGTAATTACATGGAGAAAACAGTTTAAAAAAAACTGATAAACTTTTGAAGAGAGCTGTGAGCTTCCAAGTTTCAAATAAACAGAATTTGCGGTTTAATTCATCTGTTTGCCTATTGATTATCATCTTTTTTTTTTACTGAGGAATTTGCGAAAATAACTCCTTACCTATGATGCTCTACAAAAAATGCAACCAATCAGAGCAAGCATGGCACACCAAAATAAACAAAGCAACCACCTTTAACTCTGCACATTCAAATAAAGCTGCTCAAATGAGTCTGTCTTTAAAGTCCCCTCAATAGCTCCACAAATAAAAGTTCACCTTTTAAAGGTGTAATTCACCTTTAGTGATTTAGTTTGGTTTATAGTTTTAACCTCTTAAACAGTTTTTCAAATCCCTAATGCATTCTATATTGTGGAACAATTCATTTTCCAAAATGTAACTTGTCGACTCCATAAATGTAATTAATAATTGAACCATTTTCAAACTCCTTAAAAGATTTATATTTAAAACACTGAATATTGAAAAGCTGTACTATTTTAGGACACTCACTGGTACCAGTTGGTGAGGGTCATCATGATGTAGAGAGAGGCGAGAAAGAGAGAGAAATGGAAGAAAGAGTAGCCGTATGTGACACCGTCCTCTTCGTTATCCACAGCTCGTCTCACGCCATCCTCAGAGATGGCATCATTGGCATCAGAACTCGCCAGACCCTGAACCTCCTCTGTCTGCATGAGCTTATTCACTTGGCTGTTGTTTGAGGAACGAATGCTAGAAACAGAGAAGCAGCAAACACAAAAATACTATTTAAAACAAAATACACAAATAAAAAAATCAAATGGGCAGAGTAAGAGTTATGAGATCAATAGATTTATCATTTACATGTTTATGCCAAATATTACATTTCAAATAACATTAATAATAATAATAATAATAAATAAGCAATTGAATAAGTAAGCAAATAAAGCGAATAAGCATGTAATAAATACCATTTTAAACATGCAGACTTAAGAAATGTTGCATTACTCCATTTAACTTATCCCAATTAGTTTTTAAACACATTCTCAGATAATGTTATTCTTTTTTTAGGTCAAATTAAATTTTACCAACCAAAAAGCTTGTTCAATTAATTGAAATCATAAAAACCTATACTACTGAACATTTGCAATTGCATTTACACAATAATAAAAAAAACATTCTTCTTTTTTGATTTATTTTTCTTAAATACGCAGGGTAAAATAAACAAAATATCAAGGTAGAAATCATCTTTATTTTAATTATTTTAACTTTGCTTACTTAATTAGAAAAAAAAAATCATTATTATTAAAAAAATGGCTATTATTATTATTATTGCTTTATTTTATTATAATTTAAGTTATGATATTAAATCCTTCTTTGTTTCTGGCAGTGGTAAAAAAAAAAAAAAAAACCTTACCTGGCATACAGTGTGCACAGGAGGAAGATGACCAAACCCACAACGCTCTGGGCATCCCACCATTGTGTAAAGACACCAGGGGTGCTGGTAGGAGTGGGTGCTGCGGATTGGCCTTTGACTATACTTAACAGACTGGGGTTGCACTTACGGTCTGTAACCAGAGAGACATCATATAGGTTTAATTTATTTACAAGCACAAAAAAGGGCACAAAAACAGAGTAGTGCACTCGAATATGTACACTGTTTCTGTTATGCATTTTAAACATGCTAACTGGGCTGTAATGCAGTGGTTGTGTTAAGTAGAGCAATAAATGTGACAATTACGCAGAATTTCCATACAGCTCTCCACAGGGAAAAAGGTGCTTTCAACTAAAGTTACAATTGGCCAGGATGTAGCTAACGCATGTCATTGTTTCCATTCTGGCAACTCCATGTGTTTGTGTATGCCTTATTTCCCAGCACCCAATTATGCAGACAAACAAGCATTATCTAAAACATTCCAATGTCTTTCCAGAAACTCCTTTTTTCTTGAAGAACTTACTAGATACTACAATTTGATTTCTCAGTTTGGTCATGTTTGTTTGTTTTTCACATCAGCAACACATGGATAGTACATGGCAAGATCAATATAGATAAAAATACATATTCTAGAACAATGGTTCTCAAACTATGGTACATGTACCACAAGTGGTATGCAGGCTTCCCCTCTAGTGTTACTCGGAGGAATCGTTGAATAATTCAAGTAAAAAAAATTACCACACTTTTAACCCTTTGACGCGTACGATAACAACGATGTGATCAGGAAATTGATTTTAATAGAGTAAACTATTTATTTTATTTTCGTTTTTCTAATGTTTGTTATGTATTTTATCATCTGAGGTTATTTTCCACCCCATACTTGTAACAGTTGTTGGGGGAGTATCTCGTATTTTTATATTTCAATGCTGACAGGTATGGTTTAACCACTTGCTTCTGACACACATAGCCTTCTTTAACGAGCAGTAATCAGTTGCATGTATATACAAGTCATATATACATGCAACATATATTCCAAAATTTATCACACAGAGTTATGACATACGGTATAACCTATATTTATAAGGTCAAAGAAATATTTGCAGGTTTTGATGAATAGGCTACTTTATGATAATACTTTACATTTAAGTACAGCAGTTTTCTTTTAAGTTTTTAAGAACAGTGCAATTTTTAACAAACTTTTAAAGTCACATTTTAATTTAAACGTTAACATTATATATTATATATATATATATATATTTACCTGTAAGTGTGTTATTAACAACAACAACTTCATAATTCAGTGAGAAATTATACAAAAATATATGTTTAGGAACAGTTTTTAGCTTCATATGTTATAAATTAAAATTCCTTTATAGTTATTGATTTAAAACACAAATTAAATTACTCTCTACAGAAATCTATTCTAGTGTTTTGCTCATATATTCATGATGTTTGAGACAATTATTCATTGCATGCAAAATAATAAACGAATAGAAGACAATTATATAAACTGCAAAGGTAGAACAAACTAGGGTTTAGTAACTATTTCTATATTTTGTTAAGAAATTACAGTTTTTACTAAACTGGATTGGATTAAAGTATTATTTTTTTACTAGACAGTAAAGACAAAAAACCATAGCATTTATTATAGTTTTTAAAAAATACAAAAATAATTAATAAATTGTGATATTGCAGACAATATCAATATAATACATTTTTACTATTTAAAATTCTATTAAAAACTTAAACTACTATTTGAAAATGTAACAATATTACTTCATGCATAATATTATTGCAAACAACCACTAAAAATAAGAGAAATCGGTCACTAACCTCGATCATAGCCTCAGTCTCTCTTTGCTTGCGCATTCAAGTTTAATGACATTCCATCAGAAGGAGTGATAGTTAAAGAGAGGTTGTGTGCTGTAATCGGTTTGAGAACTACAGATAGTAGCTTATTTAAAACATAAAAAAACTCATAAAAGTTCAAAAGTCTTGTAAAATTCCAACTTTTTTTCCGCCTCAGTATTTCAATGAATGCTCCACAAATTTTTTCAACAAAAACAAAAATCAAAGAGCTGACTGGAGACACTGATTTCCACAGTATCTTTTTTACATTTTTTATCTCTTCAACAGTCTTCAAAACACCTTATTTTGTGTTAAGATCAAACAAATTTGAAAAACTTTGATGTTGATGGCAGGAATATGGAGAGTAATTTTCATTTTACGGGTTGGCTTTTTGCAAGGAGTAAAAATGGTTAATACAACTATATATACACATTTTGAATCTTGCAAAACACTAAATATGTTAACCTTTTATCTGAAAGTGTTTTTGCGAATTTCTTTTTATAGGTGAGGAACTAAATGTAGTTCAGAAATCTATTAAAATTCATTGAGAATTAAGAACAGCATGATATGGGATCTGGTTCTCAGACTTACTGGGGTTGTTGCTCATGGCAGACCATGTGAGATACATGGTGTAGAGAGAGATGAGGGACGCCTGGAGGAGACCAGAGCTTGGCTGAGCTTCCTGTGACATATATACAAAGCAAATATTCAGATTTTAAAAAAACATGTATAGCTCAGCATGTTATACTACTCTTGTATTATTTCAGAAAACGTTTTAAAGTAAATATTACTAAATGTACATGTCCACTGATGAGCAAATGAAAGATTGGGCTGGTGTTTCTGCTAGATTTAGTACACAAATCATATTTGTAATTGGTTTTCTAATTGGATGCTTTATGGTTGTTATACGAACCATCTGTGTTTATAAAACATTTTTATATTATTCTTTAAGAAATTAAAATACCATTAGGAGTATTGTATGGGAAAAAAATCAGTCATAAATATTTTGTGCTTAAATAAAATGAATGCATCTGTAATTATTAAACGTAAAGGGAAACGGAACATACCCATAACTTTAGGAGAGTACAATTCCAAAATCTGAGATTAGAACAGACACAGATACAACATTTGTTTGTTTGTTTGTTTGTAAACGACTTTTAAATTTTCTGATGTGTGGGTGTACGATGTGTGGGTGTAAACACGAATACAGTTTCACCATGGACAAGATAACCTGATTACGAGTACGACACTCCACTGTCAAAATTAAGTCACTGCTGTCACAGGTATTAATAAACAAGCGAGAGCCATCAATTGCAACCGTGCGCATGCGTAATGAGTAGGACTGTAACGATACACGATATAAAATCGAAATCGCGACACTCAGATCTACGATCCTGTGTCGCGGTGTGATAAGGGAGAATCGCGACACACCCCGTACCTTTCCAATAACGTCACGCGTGCCTGCAAAAGTTGAGCTAGTTGAAGAAGAACGTGAGGAAACACTTTTTTCCCGCTCGAAATTACGAGCACTGCTCCGTTTAAGCCCTCGCAATTAGCGTTTAACCTGGAGAGCTCGCATAGAGCTCTTAGTAAGGGACTGTCTGAATGTGTCAGGAATTTAAAAAACAAAACCAACTTAACCCCTCTTGACAACAGACAACGGCAGAAACATTGCCAGTGCTGTCAAAGCATTGTTGTTAATGTGGCTGCACAGAGAGGGATGGGCGTTCACCAGATGCCCCGACTCCTCTGCAGAGGAAACTTTTCTGTAACCGTGCTCTGCGCTTTCTGTTTAACCAGGAACTGTTTAAACTGTTTAAAGGCCAGGAAACAGGACAAAGCTTTCAGTTAAGATGAACAGTTTCTATAGTTATACTTTATTTATAGATAAAGGTATATGGCTCTGCATATAATCACTCTATCTTGCTGGAGTTTATAGCCGTTTCGCTTTACTTCAGGACGCATAATGCCGCTCTGAAGGTGTAATCGCTGTTTTAAGTTATCCAGAGCTGTATGAATGTACAAATCCTGAATATCACAATATTATTAAATATTACAATTGTAACAACACAGACAGCAACACTTATGCACAATCGATACCCAGCTGATTCATAAGAGGACCGCGCTTCTTCTCTTCTTTTTTCCTTGTCAACATAAAGGCAGTGAGATGCGCCTTGTTTTCGGCTTATAAAGCATGTATGCAGATTAATGCAATAGCATATTTAAACAACAAAACTGTTTACAAAAAGTCTACATAATCGCGCGTTGTTGTTGTCTTTTCATCACGCAGCGCGTGCACTTGAACCGCGAGGGAGAGAGAGGAAACCATCAGGACATATTCTTTAAAATAATGATTTCTATTAAAATGTAAAAGGTTTTGTTATTATAATAATAACAGCGGGGCATTAAATAATTGCATATTTTCCGTGGAGCGGGCAATTTGAGGAAGTCTGCGATTTTTATTTGACGGAAGAAAAAACATGATTGGAAAAAAACAGCCTATGCCGGTTGTTAAAAAGAATAAGTCAGTATTTTTGTTTTGTAATATAAATTAATTATTTAAATTAAAATAATTTAGGGCAGTCCTATTTATTTTATTCATTTTATTTAGATTATTCTGCTCTTCTGTGCTAAACACTGCAGGTGCGTGAAGATGCTCAGTTGTTCTGTTCTGTTATTAATATGCTAGCATATAAAAATAAATCAGTATTTTAAAATGCAATATTTAATGTGTCAGACACAAAATAGACACGTCAATTTGTTTAATATAAAATTAATAGTAATCTGACCAGTTAACCGTTAATAACCGATTAATGAGCGGTGGTTGTCTGTTAGCAAAATTAACCGAAATGAGCATCCCTAGTAGCCATTTAATTTACTTTTTCTATGTACAGTAAGAGAACTTGATTGAAAAAGATTTTTTAACATGCTTGAACCATCTACACTATGGAGTTTAGTTCTGTTTGGTTTTTCAAAAGTATTTTGTTACAAAGAAAACAAAAATGATATAATTTTATTTAATAAAAAATAGTTTTAAAAATCTTTTTTCCCCACCCCACACGAAAAAAAAATCGTGATACGAATCGAATCGTGGGTCAAAAATCGTGATACGAATCGAATCGTGGGTTTGGTGTATCGTTACAGCCCTAGTAATGAGACACTGAATCCAGACTAAAGTAAGTCCGCTGATCAAAACGGCTGGGCAGTCCAGCTCCGACACACCGTCTCAGGTAAGATTTTTGTTATTCCCTCTTTGAGAAATGTCAGTCGTGAGCTGTAATAAAGGTTTTGTATTCCAAATTTCATTGCGTGGTTCGGTGTGTTCTCAAAACACACCCAATAACACTCATATATTCTATCAGGGGACATTGATCTAGAAACCAGCTGTGGCTATTTGAATATTCTGTATTTATACTTTAAAAGTAATTCAACCAAATATGCATTTGAATGTATAGATATGGGCCTTACATCTTTCCAACTATAACTGAGTACAGTATATTATTATATTGACAGTGTGTCAAAAATACTCTCACTAAACTGAGCGGATTTCCTAAACTGATATAGTGGACAGGAAATGATAAGATGAAATAATAAAACTAATAAATAAAATAAACAACAAGAAATTACTTTGAAGCAAAAACAGCTTGGGGGTGTAAGACTGACCTGCACTTTTGGAAGGATAGCCACCACAGACACAATGATACAAAAGATCAGGTTAAGACTGATGAAGACTTTGTTTTCTGTGCAGTCATCTGGCTGGGTGTAGAAAATATAGAACAACACAACTGCAGCAAAGGCACAGATATAGTGCACCAATGTGAAACTGAGTAGGGCTGTGAAGAAAACACACATACAAAAACATTTAACATTTGCATGCATGCCTCTGTTTCTGTTTTTTTCTGAATATTGAGGAATTAAAAGGATTTGTAAAAGGCTAAGAGCAATTACAATAATTCTAAACAAGCTATTGTACAATAGTTCCCAATGAAATTTTAAATGTGACACCAGTTTGATTTTACAAAACGTGTTGTTTTATTTTTCAGCAATACAATTTTGACAAAAACCAGGTGTGACCCATTTCTGGAAAATATGATATTTAAAATCCATTTGCTCCAATAGCAAAACTAACTAACTAACTAACTGTCTGTCCATCTATATACACGCATATAGATTTGCGCATACATACACATATACTATATTGTTTTAGAAACATTCACCAAAATTAACTACTTTTATTTGAGTTAAATGGCAAGCTTGGATTAAACCAGCCAAACTACAGGATTCTCACTCCATAGTTAACTTAAAGAACATTTCAAGGACTTTACAGATCTGAATTAAAGGCCTTAATGTGGGAAAACAATTTCAAGTGAGTGAAAGGTTAAATTGTGTTTAATTGGAAGATATATACTTCTGATTTGCATAAAACTGAGGAATAAGCTGTGTTTAATACATTTAATACTGTATTCTAAAATGACCTGATTAAATAATTTAATGTTTTTTATTGCAAACAGCTTAGACTTGTGTAAGTAGATGTTTTAAGATATGTGAACATGCTCTAAAAAATTGTTTACATTATCTTAAGAAAATAAATTCAAAACTACAACAGATTATCACTAATTTTGATTAGTGGTCATTTTAGATTTTTAAGAACTCATGAGAACCCTGAAAGCTAGCTAAAGTCATTTTGATTTCACTTTTTCGTGGCAGTTTTTCAGTTTAGAAGCAAATACATGCAGAAACAATTCTGCTGAACATACCTGCATACCAGCATTTACTGTTCCCATCCTCTGCATTCTCCACCCACTTTTGGTTCCATGAATGAGCAAAATCGACCAGCAGAATGAGCTGGATCAGAATGAAGATGAAGGAGCCAACCACACCGAAGTAGTACCACACTGCAAAAAGAAATACAAGTTATGCAGTCTTTCCTTTTAGCAAAGAACTAATAAAACTCTGCCAGCAAATTGTAAGGAAATTAAGATTTTAGAGAGATGGTAGTAAACAATTTATAGTTAACAAAATATTTCTGAGCTGACAATCAATCAATTAATGAACAACATAAAATAAAATACATGCTACCAGGTTTATGTACTGAACTATACCTTATTTAACCATTTTGTCTTTTCCCTAAAATATCTTGGTTTTTGATGACAGTGTGAACCCTGCTTCACATACAAGATTATACAAAACCTAAGCGTCAACACAGGCAGGAAAGTGCTACATTAGACAAGTAGGTGCTGATTCACTGTGGTCTGTGATGCACCAAGAAACATCAGTGTTTACTCTACAAATGTGTTGTGGCCACATGGGTATCAGGTGTAAATGTCGACTGCTTAGAATCCCGTCTGATTTGACAACTAAAACGATTATCCCTCCTGAGAACCACAGAGCTCTGGAAAACAACCTACACTGTTGTGGATGTCAATAAAGAATGATTAGTATTTTATATAGCTAAAAAACTCACTGGCCATTGAATTAAACTTTTACGATAAAGAAAAAAAGTACAACAAAGATAAATATTAGGTATTCCAATTATCTAATAATCTATTATTATTATTATTATTAGACCTTATTTTCTTAAGCATTAGTTGATGTACCTGTGTTGAACATTCCATCTGGAATGAAGAAGGCTCCCACTGTAATTCCGACCAGAATCAAGAACTTGAAAAACCAGAAGCTAAAAAAAAAAAACAGGTCATGGGACATTACATAAAGCTTCCTGGTCAAAAGTAAAACCATTGTGCAAAAAAGGAATTCTCCATATCAAGCTTTCACCAGCAGAGTGCAGTAAAAAATAATAAAACTACATACCCATTTTGAATTGCAGCTCGTGGATCCTTGCTGCTTCTCACACGGATCATGATGATGGAGAAAAGGAAGAAGAAACAGGCCATGGCAAAGCACATTCTATAGACCGATTTATAGCCAACAATGACATCACAGTTCACCTTCCCTTCAAATCCAGGTATAGAAGAGCCTCCTTCACAAAATCCTGGAATCTATAAAAAATGAATAAATAAATAAATAAATGAAAAAATAAATTAATTCATTAATTAAAATAAAAATTACCAAGCGAATAATATTTTAAATCACCGTGATAACATAATGTGTGGAATTTATACATTTAAAAAAGTCAAATAAAAAGGAATAGTACCTCTCTTAAGTAAAATCTAAAAAATGAAATAATCTTGTCAATAACATAAAACACATCCATCCCAAATATTTAATGTTTATTAATTTCCTGTTTATGATAACTATTTGTAGTTTCTAAAGTATGATAGTAATAGGAAGAAATACAATTTACTTATATGTATATACCTATCTAATCTCTTGCTCTCTATTTTCAGGTCAGTTTAGACTGAACAGAACATATGCCATCATAAAACAGACCTAACAGGAACCATGCCTGCTATACCGTACCTTCTTTAGCTGTGTCTCCATGCCTGGCAGAATCATGATGATGGACACTATAGTGCCCAGCAGCAGGAAAAAGGAGAAGGCCAAGCGGGTCACAGTGGAGTTGTATGTTGAAGGGCAACATCCTGATAAAAGACACGGAGCAGAGCCGCACAAACACGACGCCTACAGGAGGAGAAAACGCAGAAACATTTTCAAACGCAACAAACATACCACATATTTCTCCGCCCAAATACAGTATTAAACGCAAACTTTATAAACAGCAAATATGGCATTACTGCATGATCTAAAACTTGAGGAATGCGTATTTCATTGTTTTATCAAAAATGTGTAACTTAACCTAACTTATTTTGTAAACAAAACACTCTCTAAACTTATAAACGGAACTTCTGTAGAAATCTGATGTGAAAGCTTCTGGAAAATCCATTGCTGTCTGTCTTTACCGGTTAAAACAAGACAACACAAAAAGACACAAGTTATTTAAGTAAAATAATTTCAGTTTAAAACATTATTTTGTACTTACGCAGCTCGCCAGCGAACACAGGGCCATACACGCACCCATAATGTCTGAAAACACACCGAAACTAAAGCAGAAACACGGAAGTCAATCTTTCCTCTTTTTTAATAACTGCTTGTAAAAACGGAGTGATGATTGGCTAGCAATACATCGCTGAACTGATAAACCAATCAGATACCGGTACAGAGTAATCGCTGTGGTAAAGATTTACCTATGATACACACTAGACGGCGCTGAGTCCCATAACATGTTTTTACAGTGCAGTGTTATCAAAATTAGCAAAACAAACATATTTTAAACATACCATATAAATGAAAAATTCGCAATATCTCAAAACAAGCGATAACATATTTATTACCACATAGATAATGTTTAAATCCATACATAAATTCTGCATTAACAACCAAACACTTTAAAATATACAAATATACTTACATACAGTTAAAGTCAGAATTATTAGCCCTCCTTTTAAATATTTTTTTCTTTTTTAAATATTTCCCAAACGATGTTAACAGAGCAAGGACATTTTCACAGTATGTCTGGTAATATTTTTTTTTTCTTCTGGAAAGAGTCTTATTTTCTTTATTTCAGCTATAGAATAAAGGCAGCTGTTAATTATTTTAATATTTTTAAAAATATAAGCCCCTGCAGAACAATCCATCTGCAGAACAAACTATCATTATACAATACTTTGCCTAATTACCCTAACCTAGTTAACCTAATTAACCCAGTTAAGCCTTTAAATGTCACTTTAAGCTGTATAGAAGTGTCTTAAAAAATATGTAGTCAAATATTATTTACTGTCATCATGGCCAAAATAAAATAAATCAGTTATTCGAAATGAGTACTTAAAACTAATATGTTTAGAAATGTGTTGAAATCTCTGTTAAACAGAAATTGGGGGGAAATAAACAAGGGGGCTAATAATTCAGAGGGGATAATAGTTCTGACTTCCACTGTATATAAATATAATATACAAAGCAAATATACAATGCACAGAAATGCTGCTGAATGTTAAAAGACCTTGGATAAATAGCAGTTCTAATAATCCAGTCTGATAATGTTTTGAGCAAAATAAATCAAATTTAGCTACACATTTTTTCATTTGTTTTATATTTATTTCAAGTTTTCTATCACTTTCTTTCAGTTTCACACAGATGTTATGGAGCATGCATTTAAGCAGTTGGTATGATTTGGAAAAAAAAATCTGTTATATTTAAAAGTTTAAAAGTGCAAATAGATGTAAATTAATATGCTAAACATTCTCAGAAAATGCTATAGATTAGCTTTCTCTACATAGGCCTACTTAGAAAAGAATACTTTGACAAAATATGTACACTATAACATGCCTCTGAATAATAGTTAATCACTTAAAGGTACCATTAATGTATTGTTTTCAGACACATAATTTTGTAAAATAAATAAACAAATAAAAATAACTGCTGATTTGCTGAATGCACTATGGAGGATGAAACCTGCAAAACACAATAAAAATAAATACACAAATATAAAAATGTAAATAAGTAAATAAATTAATAAATTTATGCATAAATAAAATAATAAATAAATAAATATGCAAATAAATAAATAAATGAGTAAATGAATTCATAAATTCATGCACAAATAAAATAATAAATAAATAACTATGCAAATATTTTTTTTATAAAAAAATTTTCACAAATACCTGCATAGATAAATATATAAACAATTAATAGTGCAAGCAGGTAAATAATTAAATATTAAATATTCAGTTTAACATTTTTTTTATTCCCTTAACATTCCTGTTATTAATTTCATTATTTACCTGCCCACACTATTAAATATTTTTAATATTTATTAATTCATTCATATGCAGGAGTTTGTGTATTTTTTATTATATACTTTTATTTATTTATTTATTTATTTATTTATTTATTTATTTATTTATTTATTTATTTATTTGCATATTTAATTAATTATTTATTTATGGACGAATTTATGGATTATTTACTCATTTATTTATTTATTTATTTGCATATTTATTTATTTATTGTTTTTGCAGGTTTTGCCCTAAATAATGCACAGACATTTATAATAAAATAAAAGTAATTGCAATTGCATTTTATTTTAACATGTTTGTTTTTACAGTATAGATTTAGAATAATGAAGCTAAATCTTTATTTGTCTCAAGGGTATGAGGATTTTCAGTATTTCTATTTCAAACCATTATTAGGCTTAGGCTGTTTCTGGCATAAATCTTGAATGTTATTTCCATTAAAATTAATTTAAATTGAATGATTATAAAAGTAACTATTACATTGGAATGATTTAATTTTTAATGATTATAAACATAACATCACATCAGTTATGTAACATTATGTTATCCATCATATCAAAATGTTACATTAGCAAAGCTTTACTGATGATTCATAACCAACCACGAACCCAAGATAGAGAGGCTTAGTGAATGTGGTCCTGACTCTGTAGATGTGCCTCACGGTGTCAGAAACACTATAGAAGGTCAGAGTTCCTGCATTGTGATCCACAAACACTCCGATTCTACAGGAACTGGATGGTACGGGGAGTTCAATCACTTCACTGTTGTGCCAGAATACGAAATTTAATGAAGAGCAAAACAAACTCCATGACTGATCATTACACCCAAATCTATTCTCCTTGCTATGTCCCTTCCTGCTGATGCTCTTATATGACACTGATATTTGCACACTATTATTCCACTCAACCTCCCAGTAACAGCGTCCACAAACACTCTCTTTACCCAACACTTGAAAACATTTATCAAATCTGTCTGGATGATCAGGATGTGGCTGTGGAGTGGCTGTGTAAGTCACCGCTCTGTTCCCTTCAGACAGACAGAGATTCCTATGTGCAGTGTTTGGATCCAAGGTCAGTTGGTGTGAATCTAGTAGAAAAAAAAAAATATTTATATATATATATATATTATTTAATTATTTGATTTTCAACTTTATTTACAAAAAAAAAAATCATTATTTAAATGATTCAAATATAAAACCAGCACATATTTCAATTAAGCAAAGCAAATTTGCATGTGGTAAAGTATGGTAAAACATTATAATCTGTGCTCTGCATTTAACCCATCCAAGTGCACACACACACATACACACACACATACACGTGCACACACACACCATAAGCACACACCCAGAGCAGTAGACAGCTATTGCTGCAGGAGCCAGGGAGCATTTGGAGGTTCGGTAGCTCACTCAAGGGTCTCAACCTCAATTGTGATATCAAGGGTAGAAATAAGTGCTGGTCCTTCCAGAGCTCGGTATTCCACTTAATCCTTGCTGGACAATCCCTGACCTAAGACTTGAACCTGCAACCTTCAGCTTACAATTGGAACTCTATCCATTTGGCCATGTATTTCCAACTGCAGGTCTTGACAAGGTCTAAATTGTTTAAGGTGCATTCAAACAGTCTCAACTTGATGTGTGGAACACAGCAAACAAACTTGCCTGACAGACTCTCATTGGGGGTCTGACTCTGTCCAACGACCAGCTATTGGCTTGATGTGTTCCAGCCATAACCGAATGACTGGGTGATGTAAAGTGTTACAAAATTAAACAGAAGAGTCACCAGATATTAAATCCAGACACAAGTGAACAAAAATTTAACATGTCATTACAGTGGAAATAGTAATGCATCATATCAAATCAGTTACAAGATCCCTGAATTTTAATATCAGATGGAACAAAGGCAGATGTTCTCACAATTTAAGCATTGTGTTTACATTTACCCTGATCTTTGCTGTTCAACAGTGAAGAAAAAGTTATTAAAGCTCTCACACTAAAGTTTCTGACAAAGAAACCCTGTTCATAACAATCAAATTCTAAACTTTATACTCCAAGTAAGAGAGTATGCGCAAGGATATAGACGAAATGGTGCAATGTGAAGTTTTCCATGCAATGCTGCATGAACCGCTTGTCACAAGTATCCAACTTGCCTAAAACACACTTCTGCCTGGAAGCACGAGGAAGACACATCTAGAAGTTTCTGTAAGACATCCGGACTTACACTGAATGTTCCCCAAGTCAATGTAGCCATTCAACTTAGCTTTTCATTTGTTTTGGAGGTTGTTTAAAAGCCTGCTTCAACACAAGGTTTTCTCACAAGGGAGTTGAGTTATTAAATAGGTCGAAACCTAAAAACTATTTTAAGGTAAATTTCAAAGATCCACAGTTCATAGCATTTGAGGACATTTTCATGGGAGCTGAAAGTCCCTTCATACATTTGCTATGTTAAGTAATCAGGATGTGTCTCTTCTGCTTAATTGGTGTAAAAGTAAGTCGGTCCGTGTCTATTGGTTTATGAAAATTGTTTGTTACCGTTCATCTGCTGTTGCCAGGAGGAGGCAGAAGAGAGAGAGGATTACTCAAAAATTATGTTTGCTGTTTGTTTAAACTACTTATTTAGTTTAGTTATTATTATTTAGTTATTATTACAACTTATTTAGTTGAAGGTGGCTTTATTGTTTTATCGTTGTTAAAAAAAAACTAAAAAGTAAAATTAATTATTTCATATTGCCCCAACACAAATCCGAATGATTGATAAGTTTGGCTGAGTGATGACACATCATGAAAATAAATCTATATTGCATTGGTCGATATATAAATAAGATGTTAGCTCTGTGTTTTGTCATTTGTACTTTTTCAGTAATGCCCAATTCAGTCTATTTTCAACCTGATTTTTAAATTCCAACTTTGTTTTGCAATTTGCACTTTTCAGAAAGATTTGCCCAAAGTGTTATCTCACATTTAGTGTTGTGCAGGATGTGTCCCCAACAATATCCAACAACTGAAATGTCAATAATTGAATTGCCTTCAAAATAAAATAAAGTCACCTCTTAGTAACCTGGACAAGCAGAAAGGGTTAAATGGCATTCTCTTCTCCGGTCCTTCCTCCCTCAAACACATAAGGGCTCAAACACTGTCAAGTGACTGTCAGCAGTAGTTATATTTTGATGTTAGACGTGTGAAAATAAGGAAATGTTCAAGTCCTCCCTCACTGAATAAGGCATACACATAATGAGCAACTTTTCTTCTTCTTTTTTTTTTTTTTAAGAAAGGTGCAAGTCATTTGAAGTCGAGCTTGCTATGAGTCCACCATAATAATATTAGGCTGTGCAATTAATCTAAATTTATTTTCTATTTTGGCCTCCATGATTATGAAAAACTTATGATAATTAAGATAAAAGGGTTAAATTGTTTCACATGTCAAAATTTTTCTACATTCATACCTTCTCAAAGTCCGATTGCAGTAAAATCACGTAAAGTGACTTTTGCAGCATGGGATTGTTATTTGTGTTCAAAGTCTTTTATTCATGATTTTAAAAGCATGAAAGAGAATTTGTGCTGTATGACAAGTTGTGTTACATACCTTAACTTACAAAAGCCTATCCAAGTTTCCCCATTTTGGAACAACAAATGATAACTTCACTTCTTGTTGATCATTTGGTATCAGAGATGGCTTTTTTGAAAGGCAAAGGCCTCTAGATTACGCATATTTTACCAAAATAAAATATGATCATGCCTTGATTTTTAATTATTTGATTAGGACAGTAAGGTCTGACTTTGCTAAGACAAAAGTCTTGTCACTTAAGAGAAAAACATATACAGTATAGAATATAAAGTCATGGTGCAATGGAAAAAGAATATATAACGTGTATGACTCCCATGAGCTTGGAGGACTGCATCCATACATCTCTGCAATGACTCAAAAAATGTGTTAATAAAGTCATCTGGAATGGCAAAGAAAGCGTTCTTGCAGGACTCCCAGAGTTCATCAAGATTCTTTGTATGCTTCTTCAATGCCCCCTTCTTCGTCTTACCCCAGACATGCTTAATAGGGTATATGCCGAAGCATGCTATTAGGACTTTTAATTTTCCAGTAACCTGGATTAAGCCCTTACAGGGAACTGTTTGCCATTGCAAAAACGGCACGTTTAAGGTCTGTTTTCTTTAAAAATCAGTGATTTCCACTGGCTGAGTGATATCCGATATAAAGTGGGTCTCAGATTGTACAAGAAGCACTGCATTAAATTATACATTTTCTCCCGACATATATTTAAAATATGAGCATTTATTTTACCCCAGTATATTAAATGGAGCTTCTGCGCTAGCCTGCCGAATCTGACGGGCGAGTGCGTGTAAACGGCTTTTTGACTCGTTTTACGCTTGAGCAACTAAATGAATGCCAGAGTCTATTTAACTGGTTGTATTTTAACTACATTACAACATCAATGCCGTTAAAGGTGTTGTTTAAAATGGAAAAAAAAAACTAACAATAACAGGTAACCGGAAGTTTATCAGTATGGGAACAGCACTAGCTCGGCATATACCCTATAATGTTCATGTCTGGTGGCTGGTCTAGCCAATGCTGGAGCGCATTGACCTTCTTTGCTTTCAGGAACTTTGATGTGGAGGCTGAAGTACGAGAAGGAGTTTTATCCTGCTGATGAATTTGCCCTCCCCTGTAATTTGTAATGTAGTAGGCAGCACAAATGTCTTGATACCCTAGGCTGTTGATGTTGCCATCCACTCTGCAGATTTCTCGCACGCCACCATACTGAATGCAACCCCAAGCCATGATTTTTTCTTTTCAAAACTGGACTGATTTCTGTGAGAGTCTTGGGTCCATGTGGGTTCCAATACGTCTTCTGCAGTATTTGAGATGATCGGCATGCAGTTCAACAGATGATTCATCAGAAAAATTTACCTTTTGCAACTTTTCTAAATGATCAACTAGATGTCAAGTTATAATTTGTTGCCCTTACAACTGGGATTGACGACAAGACTATTGTCAGGTAGTGTATGTGCTCTAGGACATTGTCCCCACCAATGTCAAGAGCAAATCTACGCCTTTAGTGTTGTACTTGTTTTCTTGTCACTTACACAGAAGAAATTCCTCTCTGGTCTTGGGAACAATGTCGCTGTGTGTGACTGGAAATTAGAGAAAAAAAAGAAGAAAAAAATCATGATGTGCAACTTTTTAGTACAGACTAAATTTATTATGATTTTCCACTATTCTCTTCCAAACAGTTTTAGATTATAAATGTCCAGTAATTTACCAGATATCTTTTTCCTTTCTTCTTTGCAGAAAGCCTCCATTTTCTGTTTCAGATGACAGACAGATTTTCTCACACCATTGAAGGAAAAGAAGAAATCGAAAGTGAGGTTGTCTGTAAAGTCAGGAACAGCTGAGAGAGACTTCAGATTCTGCAGAAAGACAATAAAAATGACATTACGACCCATTATTCCTGACATTACCTGTACCTAATAAACTGAATATGAACTAATACCTGAAGAAAACGGATATGATTGCAGTCAGTGTGTGAAAGCTGCTCTAATTCAGTGTTTGTCCGCTTCAGATGATCAATCTCTTGCTTCAATCGCTCCATAAGTCCTTCAGCTCGACTCACTGCAGCCCTTTCTTGATCTCGGATCTGCTCTGTCAACTCTGAACAACTTCTCTTAATAAAGCAGATCAGTTCTGTGAAGACCCTTGTACAGTCCTCCACTGTTGTCTGTGTAGAACGCTGTTAAGACACACATCATATTCACACTTACTGTGAGCTATAGTGAGCTTCAGTGAGATTGGAATATCTTCAGCTCTGAAGAGGCGTTCAAACTTCTGTCCAAACTCACCTTATGAGACTCAATAGCTTCTCTCAGCTGCTTAATGGCTTTCTGTTTCTGCTCAGTTCTTTCTTTGATTGCTCTCTGTTTCTCCTTTAAACGACTCTGTTAGACAAATATGGTCAAACATGAGCTGTCTGTTTTAATATTCTTACAGCACACCAGGTAAGTTTGATGTATAGTGATTGAACAGTGTTACACATGAATTGTAAATATGAACCACAACTTACACTATTACCTAATGTTTTGAGACATCCGCCTTTATGAACATAAACTTTAATGACATTACAATCTTAGTCCTGAGGGTTTCATGCAGTTGACCCACAATTTTTTATTTTTTTTTTATTTTTTTAATTTTTTTTGACATAACAGCTTCAACTCTTCTGGAAATTCTCTCCACAAGGTTTAGGAGTGTGTTTGACCACTCCTCTAGAGGTGCATTTGTGAAGACAGACACTGATGCGAGACGATTCATCCTAAATTTGTTCTATTGAGTTGAGCTCAGGACTCTCTGCAGGCCAGTCAATTTTTTCAAACTTGCCGTTTCTCCTTTAAATGACTCTGATTGCTCTCTGTTTCTCTTTTAAATGACTTTGTTAAACAAATATGGTCAAGTATAAGCTGCCTGTTTTTATTTTTCTTACAGAACACCAAGCAAGTTTGAATTAGTGTTGTATAGTGATTGAACAGTGGTTAAACATGAATTGTAAATATAATACACTTTTGGCTAATGTTTTGGGACATCTGCATTTATGAACATGAACTTTAATGACGTTGCAATCCTAATCCTGAGGGTTACATGATTGCGGACGAGCAGACTTGGCTCACAGTCAGTGCTCTAATTCATTCTATTTGTGTTAATTTGGGTTAAGTTCAGGACTCCACAAGTCAGTCAATTTCTCCACACCAAAATTGCTTATCCATGTCTTTATGGGCCTTGCTTTTTGCACTGGTGTGCAGTTATGGTGGAACAGGAAGGGAATGTGCCACAAAATGTTCTTACTAAGTTGAGATCATGATATTGTCAAAAATGTATTAGTGTGCTAAAGAAATAAGGGTTCCTTTACACTGGAACTAGAAGCCAAAACCAAACTCATATAAAAAATACAACCCTAAACATATAATACAGTCAGGCTCTCCACCCAGACTTGTCCATCACATTGACAGACAGAGATGAAGGATTCATCACTCCCGAGAACATGTCTCCTCTGCTTCAGAGTCCAGTGGAGGTATTGATATGCTATTGATGCCTTGCTTGATTTCACAGAGCTCCTGAGAACAACCCATTCTTTTACAAATGTTTGTAGAAGCAGTTTACTAGGTACTAGGTGCTTGATTTTATACAACTGTGGCCATGGACATCATTGGAAATCCTTAATCCAATGATTCGGAGGGGTGTCTCAAAACTTTGCCAATATAAAGTGTATACATTAACATTATAACACTATACATATAACATTGTGTTGTCGTAATTATTCCCATGTATCTTATGATATTGAAAATTTGATGGAAAATTAAAAATTACCTTCGATGCAATGTGTAACACACATCTATATAAACATCCAGAGTTTAAAAGAGGTGGTCCACAGTGTGTTTTTAAGGCTTGGTTGTGTTTATAAGATGCAAGCAACGTGTGCTCATGCTTCATTTGTAAAAAATAAATCACATTATTTTTTCATATATCTTACTTTGATTATATACAGTTACTCAGCTAACATGAAAACGACTGTCAGATTTTTTAGTTCCTCTGAAAGGCCCACCCTAAAGCTCTAATTGGTCAGCTAACATAATGTGCTGTGATTCGTGGATTGGCTCTGTCACCGTACGTGTCACACCCCTACAAGCATGCGCTTTTGCGCTGTGTAACCAGTCATTCAGGGGTGCGTTTCCAAAACAACAACAAGGTAATTCACAGCTGAACTATCATAGTACGACACAATGTTTGGAAAAAGAATGATGTGGTGACAAGCGTTTCTCAAAAGCCAGTTTCTGTGTCGCAAATCCATCGTTTGAACAATGTTAGTTATAAACAAAATGACCATAATGATACAATGATGCTCTAAACAGAGTGGTAACAAGTTCTTTAGAGAGGAACCCCATTATTTCTTTGTGCAAATTATATTGTTTTACACACACAGGCATTTTAAAAATATATTCCTTTTGATAAATACATGCATTCGTTTTCCATATAAATTAAAATATACGTAAATGGCACATATGGGGCCTGTGTTTCCTTTACACATAATATTGAGAACATTACATAATATATTCTAAAACAAAAAATCACTTACAAAAGCTAACACGTATTCTAATATCATATATAAATCATATAAATAAATAAATAAATAAATAATGAGGTGATTAATTAATAAATGAAATTTCATATTTATTATTCATTAGGAAATAAAAAAAAATCCTACTTTAATAATAATAATAATAATATAAAAATATTATTTATGATATTGATTGTTATTATTATTATTATTATTATTATTATTATTATTATTATTATTATTAAGTAGGATATATATATATATTTTTTGAAAGGTTTATTTTTACAATTTGACACATGCAAACTACTGCAGAAATTTTCTAACCAACAAGTCCATGTCATAATCTGTACAGTACAATTACTTAAAAAAATAACCTACTATAAATTAAAAGCATTAAGTTATGTTTTTTTTTTTTGCATTCACAAGCTTAGGAAACGTAACATAAATTCTGCTTTTATATAATAGATCACCAATACTGTAGCTTTCGCTATGAGGCTGTGTTCAAAATGACATCAATGTTTTCAAAGTGCACTGTGAAGGGAGTGCAATTGTAAACATGAAGATCGCTAAATCTGAACTGTAAAAATACTTTGAAAGCAAATTACACCCGAGAGTGATGACTTTAATGCATTTTTTTAAATAATTTTAAGTTTAAATGTTAGAATGTTCTAATTGAATATAGGGCATAGGGGGAATAACTGGGAATAGGACACACCCAGAAACTATGTTTCTAACTACAGCTCCACAGGTGTAGTTGCAACATAGAAGTTTGCAACGCAGTTTGCGAAATAAATTTTGGAAACGCCAAATTAACAAACTATTCTTGTGACAACGGAACTTGCGACCTTAGTTGGCTAAAGATGTTTTTTGTAAATGCACCCCAGAGCAGCTGTTAGCTGCATTAGCCACCTGAATAAGACAGAAAAAAAATAAAAAATGAAGAGAACACAGGTGAAACTCACACCTGCTCTCTAAAATAAAATCTGACAAGTGTTTTTCACATATATTCGGAATACGCAGGTGTGAGAAATATAAAATGTTCTCATATTATTTGAGATTTAGAGAGACCCTTTGAGATGGAGAGACCCTGCAGTGCTGGTGAAGATTCTGTGTGTTTACAGCAGTTTTGTGGCTAAATACGAATTTGTAGCTAAATTGTTAGCGGTTCCAAACAGCATTTCCCATTGTTTACATCCTTGTCTATGTCCTTGCTACAACATACCATTAATGCTAGAAACTGTGCAAATAATAGATAAATTTTAACAAGTAAAAATACTTACAGGTTGTGGCTCACAATCCACAGTTTCATTTATTGGACAAGAGTTTAGACTAATCTAGCACTGAACTGGGATAGATTCTGGAAGCTGTTCTTTGTCAAGTGCTATCTATATATTTTTATAATTCTCTGGAATATAATTTAAAATTTTATTGTAAGCACTTCTCTCTTAGTGTTGTGTCCTGTGGAAGCCTAAATACACAAACAGAACAAGCTATGCGTTTGGATTAAATTTTAACTTTCTATGCTATAACATTACAGAACCTCTGGCCACGCCCCTTCACTGCGCAAGGTGTGTGCACAGAGCTAACACTGTAAAACCAATGTCTCCCTCTGTCTCCCTTTGCACTGAACTTTGAGCATATCACATTCAGAGATGTTGTTTATTTTCACACATCAACTGAAGTTTAACAAATGATATCGTAGTGGACCACACATTTAAATCTGAATGTGCACCGTGTTTGACCCTATTAATTCCCAAAAGAGTTGACTCAGAGCCATTTATATGAATTGTCTTGTTTTCAATTCTTTAGATGTTTCGTGTTGATGTTGACAAGAAACATTGATATATATATGAAGCACCAGACCCAGGAAAGCTTGAACCCACTCTTAGCTTTAAACACTAGCAGAGTTCGGGGGATGGGACTTCATCACGAATGAGGACGAGTGATCACTGTGAGACGTATATCTTATAATGTATATCATTGTTTTTACTTGGGTTTATGGTTAAGAATAGAGCAATATGCTGGTGTCTATCTGCATTCCTGCTCACACATACAACACTCTACACCATGGGTTGCTGCTTGTTAGGCATTCCTTTCCATCTCACACTGAACACAGTTGACCAATCACAACAGACCAGGTCATCGAACCAATCACCACAGATTAGCGTCACACAAAGGAGGGGTTTGGAAAAAGTGAATCACTGTACAAATCAAACAGAAGTCATTTGGATAATTATGTAAAAAATGCATTTATAAGACAATGAAAGAGTTTTTTTTTTTACCTTACATTCAAATCAGCCTGTAGTTGGAGACCCCCAAAACCAAAATATGACATTTTGCATTATAGGGGCTCTTTAAAAAGTCTTTCCATGATCCTCAAAAACAGAAAGCTTCATGGAATCCAGAGATAACCTAATTTACATTAAACTTTACTCACAAATTGAAGCAATAAGCAACTCTGGGTCGTTTTCATTAGTACAATTTGAAGTTTATGAGCTTCCAATAATGTGACAAAGTTCACAATATTACAGAGTTGAGCAAAGATTAACTTTTACTGCAATGCACATTAACGCAATATAACAATAACCAATGGGAGCTGAATTATACAGTCACAAAATGATAAAGTTTTTAGAAGAACACTTCACATTTCTGCATTAAAGTCTGCATGAAACGGAAGTTATTTCAATGTGTTGATGTACTTGCAACTGAAACAGAATATTGCGTAGGGACTGGGTTCCATTAAGAAGGGCTAATCCCTATGCCCTCTGAAGGTATTAGACCATACACTGTAAAAAAAAAAAATCCTGGTTGCCTTAAATTTTTAAGCTGAATCAATTTAACCCTATGAGTCCATTAAACTTATATAATTTAAACTGACCTAAAACAGCTTGTGTAACTTTTAAAATTAAGTAAGAACATGATTAACTTAGTTTCAAGAATTCACACTTAGCTGATGATTGATTACAAAGCTTGTTTGGCATGCTGTCCTGGGAGAAAGCCCTGAGCTCATAAGATCCCCGAGGCCGGGGCTCCTTCCCATTTGCAAGGCAAGTGGGGAGTTTGAGCTCAGGTAGATCTTGAGAACTCCCCTGCTGCAGTAGCTAAAGAACAGATAGTGGTTGCTTTTAAGAGATAACCATTTACTAGTACCATGTCTATGGTGCCGATTTTGATTAGTCAATTAACTTAAGTCGCATGTTTTTAGACGGTGGGAGGAAACCGGGGAACCCGGGGGAACCCACGTGAGCACAGGGAGAACATGTAAACTCTGCACAGAAACGTTGTCTGACTTGGTAAGTACTAGAACAAGTGATGTTCTTGCTCTTAGGCAACAGTGCTTACCACTAAGCCACTGTGCCACCCATAGGAAAGCAGGAGGAGTAGGGGTGGAAGGGGGGATTCTTCAAAATGAAAGATGGCGGTTATATGGAACTTAGGGTATTTATTGTGGCTTAGGAATCGTGTGATTGGTGAATCATAAATTCAATAATGCGGGGCCTGCCGCATGCAATCATAAGTATGTGCTCCTCTCAAAATGTATAAATAAACTTCACTTAATAATACAATGACCTAAAAACATATGCTGTTAAGGCTAATTCGTCATATAATTGTTTTATAGTGTACGTATGAGCTCCTCAAAATGTTAATGTATTGTTTCAGTACATACCTCATTCTCTGCCATCTTTGCAACAGCTGATACAGTGTGATGGTTTCTATGTTTATCCATTACACAAAGCACGCAAATGTACTGCTGATCAGTGTTACAAAAAACCTCCAGAATCTTATTATGCTCACGGCACATCATCTGCTGCAAATGACCAATGGCGTCAGTCACTTTGTGTCGCTTTCCTGAGTGAAATTCCTCATGATGCTCAAAATGAGTTAGGCAATACGATTCCAGACACACCAGACAGGACTTGACCGCTTTTGATTTCTTTCCAGTACAGACGTCACACTTCACGTCTCCAGGTGTAATGAAACTTACAGCAGGAACATCAGTTTGGAGTCTTGTCTTCTTCAGCTGCTCCACCACTTCAGCCAGCATTGTGTTTTTACCTAAAACTGGTCTTGGCTTGTAGGTCTGTCTGCACTGAGGGCAGCTGTAGATGCTCTTCTGATCCCAGAATTCTGTAATACAGCTCATACAGTAACTGTGTCCACATGGAATTGTTACTGGATCCTTCAGGAGATCCAGACACACTGGACAGACAAACTGCTCTTCTGAAACACTGGCTTCAGCCATTTCACTGTGTGTACACTATACAAGTTTTAGATTATTTTCCACTGAGTTTCCTGGTTTTATGGTTAAGATATGTGATGTAGTTCAAGAAACTCATAAAGGTCCATAGGTCAGTTTCAAATTGAAACCAAGGGTTAATAATAATACAAGCTCACTATAAACCGAAGCAACACTATGGAAACAGAATCAATAAATCCAGTACCTTTATTCCCAAGGTGCAGCAGGTAGTTGACATGACACCCCATACAGTTTAAGACATTCTCTTACATTTACTGTTTATCTAACTACTGTATAAATAGTTTTAGGGGTCCTAGAACTGAATGTGCTATTGTGATAGGAGTGTAACTGTGAGGTGGATGAGGAGATGTGGATAATTGGAAGGGTCTTGGTTCATATGCAGCTGAAAACTTTTGATAAACCATCTGACCAGAGGATAAGTGGGGAATATGAAATTTCTGATAATGCGGCATAGAAGTATAATTAGCAGAGGGAAGAGCCAGATCACTGAGTGCAGGCCCGTAGCCAGTATGGCGATCTGGTGGGTGGTTCTTTATTTTTTATTTTTTGGCACATTTTTGCAGTTATAAATCTCATTTTCTATTTAACTATGAGCTATAAATACCTCATTTTAGTGACATATTAATCACAATTTTTAACTGAATTAACTTGTCGAATGGTCATTGATGTACCAAAAAATATTTCTATATATATATATATATATATTTATTTATATATATATATATATAAAACATTTAAAACGCATTCATTACATCTTATAGCATTAGAAAAAAACTGTTAAAGTTTTACATTGAAAACTGTGGCCTATATTAATATTATATTATAACATTATAACATTAATATTATATTATAATATTATATTATAACATTCAGCCTTCCACATTCGGCTATTTAAATTATAAAAAATCCAATATCCAATATTTAGAATACAAGTTACTTGCAGTGTTGGGGTAATGCATCACAAGTAAATTGAGTTACGTAATAATATTCCTTTTCTAAGTAACGAGTTACTAAAAAGCTTGAGTTTTTAAAAATGTAACTTGAGTTACTTTTTAAACTAATTAATATGCTTTTATTTTATTTTTTTGCTGAAATAAAATTTGTGTAATCAACTTAAATGGACAGTGAAAAAAGTGAAAATACAAAAATAACAAACTGATTGCTTCTAACTTTTCTTAATCTGTAAAAACAGCATGGCGTCAGGAAGTTCTCGGAAGGTAAAATTATTCAAATTTTTGTGATAATTTCTTTTAAAGATACAGTGTAGGTTATACAGTGTGTTGTTAGATGTGAAGGTCCTATATTTAAAAAAAATAGCAAGTTCAAGATTAAGCCTAAGGCAGGTATAAAAACGTAAATCAAAAGTAACTTAAAAAGTAAAGTAATGTATTACTTTCCATTAAAAAGTAAAGCAACTAGTTACTTTTAATAAAAGTAATAATAATATAGGGAGTAACTCAATATTTACTTTCAGAAGTAACTTTCCCCAACACTGGTTACTTGTATAATATTTTCTCTATTTAAAAACAATACAATAGCTAAGATGACTTCACTTACAACATATTGTTTGTTTTCCTGCACAGCTGGATGTTGGACTCCTAAAAAAATGTTTGCATTGGCAAAAACTGATTAGCTGAAGTCACACCGAAGCGACAGCCAACAGAGGATTCCGTTTGGTCTTAAATACTTTTTCAATGGGTTATTCTTACTCTATATGGTTGCATAGCAGTCAAAATAAGACAAATGAGCTCATGTATGGGACAAATTCTAGACTTTTGTCAGTTAGGGGTGGCGCTGGAGAGCGCTATCTGCTAAACATCTTCATATTGTATCCACTAGAGGGCAGGAAAACCAGTTTTCTGCTCTTGTGGACTAAACTTTTTAGACAAAAACATTTCTGTTTATGGGTCTCATTTTTCAAGAGTGGGCACTTCAGTTTGTAAATGTAATGTATCTGGCTTCATCTTCCAGTTATTCATCTTCCAGTTAGCTTTACAAGCAGCACTTTTTCTTGCTTGTTACTCAATGTATTCCTATCATATATTATAATGTATTGTCTTATTTAGAATAAAAAAGGTCTGTGTCACAAATACTATTTGTTTTTCTTTATTACCTTTTTTTTATATTCAGCCGGGGCTTCATAGTAATGATAAATTTCCATAAAGGACAGTGAATATAAAAATAAAAATCACAGAAATGCTGCAAAAAATAAGTCATTTGTTTAAATATCACCAAAAAAGCTGTCACAGCAACAACTAGAGAGAAAAAAAATCCCTAAAAGAACTACATTTCTTGGCATGTTTTATTCAAACTTTGCTGCACAATGACAAATAATTAGCTTTAGCTATTTGTCCTTTTATACATTTTGAATCTTTGATGACAATTACAATAATAGTCAACTGTAAAAACATGCTTTTTTTTCCTGTGTAGTTTTAAAAACGTGCCAATTCACTTAAATCATATACCATTTATACTTTAATATTGTATATCAGTTAAAGATCATGCCAAGCACTTATCAATATTCCAGCAATGTAACAGAAGAGGGCAAGAGAAATCGAAAGTAATTCATGGCTAGGTGCCTGTTTAGCTCAATTTTTTATGTACAAAATAGGATTATAAATAAAATATAATATGCATTTTTAGACATATTTTCAAACTTTGACTTAGCATTTTGATTTATTTCAAAAGGTGTGTGCTTTTTTGGTTGGTTTGCTCAAATGTTCAACTGGCTCAACTAACTAGTAAAACAATCACAAGAACATTCTAGATAGTTTTCACAGATATGAGTAAGAATTTAGACGCCTGGAAGCTTGAAAATATGAATTTCAGATGCAAAAACTTTTAAGCGCCATCTGATTTTCTACTTGAGCATTTTTGTATTCTTTAATGTGACAACTGAACATAAATATAGGAGGCTGAGAAAAATGCTAATTTTGTTGCTAATGCTAATTAAAAATCCTACAAATGTCACATGGCAGTTTTTCAAAGAGGGTTTTGCATGAGAACTCTTCATATACTGATCTTCACAAAAGTCAAATAAATGTCATAGATTATTTTTTAAGTATTGTTTTTTAATGCTTAAGCTTTTGGCTAGATCAAACTTCAAATAAGATACACCACCCATTTTCTGGCTGATTTAAAAAAAAAAAAAGTTTAACAATAGCTGAAGCAGTAGGTCTTAAAGCAGTGTTTCTCAACCATGTTCCCGAAGGACAACCAACACTGCATGTTTTGAATGTCTCTTTGTCTGTGACACCCATCACGGGTCTTTCAATCTCTGCTAATGAGCTGATGATCTAATTCAGGCGCATTTAGTTAAGGATATATAGAAAATGTGCATAGCTGATGGTCTTACAAGAACATGGTTGAGAAAAACAGTTTTAGAATGCATTTGATATCTTACAATCGAAATGACACTCAAGAGAGAACAATTCAGCATATCCACAAAAAGGAACAAACTAAATCTTTTGCATCTAATTGCTTTTGAGATTCTGCACACACAGGAGGACACATTTCCAAACTTACAGTAAGTTTCAGAGAAACACAGTAGTGCTGTCCAGGGTGCTGAAACTATAAACCACTGTACTTTGTGTTCTCCTTCTCAGAAAATTAAATCTACACACACTAATAAAATGTTATCCCTCAGCCTTGTTCTGCTGAATCAGTGAAAAGGGGAGGAAATACAGAAAGGATAGAAGAAACAACTCTTAAACTATATTGCTCCGGTACTCCAGTTTCTGATGGTGAAACTGAAGTCCCATTCATCACTGTCATGACTCACAGCCTGAGAAGATCACTGAAATCAGATCCTAGATGTGACTGGCCTTTCCACTGTTTCACACTTGCAATGTGAGTATTGATTATCCACCGATTCCCTAAGGTCTTCAAGAAAGAACTGAACTGACATCTGTCCCACTGGGATATGACCCTGATTCTCGAAAGTGTGGCACAAGCTTTCCAAGCAAAATGGCCCATTATACAAATTAATTGTTTTTTTTTTATGTTTCTGTGATCTGGTCTCAAATTGGTAAACATGGTAAAAAGTTAATAATAGCGTTAAATGTTAAACTTGGCAAACATTGTGACAATGTGTAACCTTTGACTTACATAGTATTTGATTTTTTTTTTCATACAGAAGTCAATGGTACAAATTTTCAGCTTTTTTAAAAGATATTATTTTGTTCAACAGTTTCAAAAAAACTTATGAAACTTTGGAACCATTTGAGCACGGGTAAATAGTGAGTCCATTTTTGTTTTTGGGGTGATCTATCCCTTTTATTCATTCAATTTCCTTCAGCTTAGTCCCTTTACTGATCAGGGGTCGCAACAGCGGAATGAACCGCCAACTTATCTAGCTTAAGTTTTACACAGCAATACCCTATCCTGCTGCAACCCAGTACTTTCCATACAAACTTATCCACATACACTACGGTTAATTTAGTTTTTTCAATTGACCTATACTGCATGTCTTTGGATTGTGGGGGAAACTGGAGCACCTGGAGGGAAACCCACACAAACACGAGGAGAACATGCAAACTCCACACAGAAATGCCAACTGACCCAGCCAGGACTCGAACCAGTGACTTTCTTGCTGTAGGGCGACAGTGCTAACCACTGCACCACCATTTATCCCTTTAAGGCAGGGGTCACTAATCTCGGTCCTGGAGGGCCGGTGTTCTTGCAGGGTTTAGCTCCAACTTGCCTCAACACACCTGCCTGGGTGTTTCAAGTATACCTAGTAAGACCTTGATTAGCTAGTTATTATGTGTTTGATTAGGGTTGGAGCTAAAATCTGCAGGACACCGGTCTTTCAGGAACAAGTTTGGTGACCCCTGCTTTAGGATTTTTAATAATGCATCAAAGTGATGTACTAAAAACAAATCTTGCTCATTGTGTGTTAAGGAGAGAGATGTGGGTAGTTTGAGGGGTGTTACAGGCACGTGCCTGATCCATTGTCCTCAGTCCCCTCTGCTTGACATGGGTCATCTTCAGGACTGAGTCAAGGCCATTGGTTACTAAGGAGATCTCTATAAAATGCTTTAGTCTTCATTGTCTTTTTGAGGGAGGCATGAATGCAGCCGACTACATTATCATCTCTATACAAAAAAAAAAAATGCAATATGGTCGACTACACACATTTTTTTTTTTTTAAATTGGGAAGGAAGCCAGTAGGGAATTTGTAGATTTCATAACATTTTATTCATTTGTTGATTGTATAACACATAATACAAGCTACAATAAAATCATTAAAGAGGGTAATATTATAATATTATATTGTCAAATATTTCACACAAACATACACACACACACACACACACACACGCTAAAAAAATTTATTCAACACTGAGATTATGATTATTATTAATTATGGAATACAAATAAAAAGTTATCATAATAAATCAGTAATAAAATTATTAGTTTTATGATTATAAGTATCATTTAAAATAAAAACAAATGTGCTGGAAATTCAGATTTGGATCACATAAATAAACTATAGGCCTACTTAAAATAAAACTCATATAGAAAATTGAAAACATAACCCAAAGGCTTTACTTTTTTATTGTATTTTTGAAGCAAATAAAGGCAGCCTTGTTAAAGAGAACCACTTCTTTCAAGGCATGAACAATGCTATTGTTTCCTAACTGTCAAACTGTTGAAATACATCTTTATGGAAAAATACATCATATACAATGCAGTGAATTGTATTCCATTTAAACTTTTATTAATATACCTTTTGTTTTATTAATTTATTTAGGAGGTGTGGTATTTATTTATTTATTTATTTATTTATCTTCACGGTTTTTGATGGACAGAAACAATTTGAATTACCAAACAAATCTAATTAAACGTGGCTACAAAATCATGTAACAACCTACCATATTAGTTTGCAGTTTCTGTTTTTATTATTTATTTATGATGTGTGGTATTTATTTATTTATTTATTTATTCATTTATTTATTTTAGCTTCACGATTTTTTGATGAACAGAAACAATTTGAATAACTAAACAAATCTAATTAAACGTGGTTACGAAATCATATGACAACCTACCATATTAGCTTGCAGTGTGATCGCTGTGGATCCTTTTCTCCTAAATGCATGTTCCTTTTTAAATAACGCGCGGTATAAGCAATTCGCTAGCAGTGTTTTACATTCATGACGAAGCTAAAGATCCAGCTGCACTTTTGATTGACGGATAATGATTGCATCACGTGACCCGTTGAAGCACATGCTTGATTATCATATGAAGAGGGTCCTGGTTCTGTTTGGATTACATAATTAGATGAAGTGTTATGACTAAGACTTCTAACAGGTGCTGTGCTGTTTCCTCTGACATGAGTCAGAAACCTGTGAGAGAAAGAGTGCGTTTGGGAAGCTGATGAACGGCATCCAAGAATCCTGCATGAATATTTAATTGGAAAGTGGATGCGGCTTTAATTGTGTTTGTGGGTGACGGGCCGCATGACAATCCAAATACAGTCATCAGAGCAGAACCACAGCAGGAGCCCAGCAGACTGACTCACTGCTCTCCATTAATTCATTCATCCATCCATTCAGTCAGTCACACAGGCTCGGTAGTATAAAATGCCTTCGAGGAGCTGGACTTTAAGACGAAGCCTGGCGACCAGTCCACATTAACGTAGTTGATTACACCACAGAAAAAGCAGTTAATTGTATAGCCTAGTTATTTTTTAAGAAGTAGAAGGCTAAATCATAAAGATGCCCCCGGCAAATCCGCATCTCAATCACACAGGTGAGAACTTCATATCAGTATTATAAAATAACTTTTTACAACATTATATAGGTTTTACCAGTCTCTCTCTCTCTCTCTCTCTCTCTCTCTCTCTCTCTCTCTCTCTCTCTCTCTCTCTCTCTCTCTCTCTCTCTCTCGTGGCAGCAAGATTAAGATCAAAATCTTGTCTGGAGAAACTCTTACACATAGCATTCTTTTGTGAGATGTAGTATATTGCGTTTGTGTGTGTGTATGTGATGTGCACAATGATCCTTCGGATTTGTAGCCTATTTATGTGTATAATTTACCTAATATTTGTAGTCTAAAGGTACAAAAAATCGAAATGGGGGAAAAAGTCGCTTTCAAATTTATTTGCAATGCACATTAACCAAAATAGTTTGCTTAATTTTATACCATTTACTGTGTTGAATAAAAAAAATGAAACATGGTCTTGATATTCTAGCCTAATTATTTCTGCCATTTAAAAAACTGTCATTTTGACCTGCATAAAATGCATTTTGACCCATATGCTATTGTCAAAAATATAGCCTACTCGTGCAACCTAAACTGTGTCACGTATGTATGTGGAATTCCCTCCGTGCTTTAGTTACATGTAAATTGCCGGTTGCGAAAACTTCAGGCAATTCCCATTCATTATGCGCTGGCGTCAGAGATCAATTAAATAACATTTACACGCCTCAGAGTATCTTATTGTTCCTTTTGTGGGCTCTGCTTGAGGTGTGAGAACAATGAGACACTGCGACCTGTGCTTTTCATGAAGCTCAAACCAGAACTGCGATCAGTTTTCAATAGTTTGTCAACATCATTAGCTAGGGGACATTAATTGAATTTTTATTTCCTGTTTTTGGCATTTTTAACACAATTCAAAATAATAACTAATACAGTTACATCTTACACAGGTCCCGAAATGCACATTATAAATATGTTTTAAAGCATATTATTATTATCCTTTTGTAGTTTAAGACGTGCCTGCTTTTGGTTGCACACAGATATCAAATGTTGTGATATTATAGAACGTTTTGCGTGAATTATTCAAGTCATGTTCTAATGTCTTCAAAACCCGACGTTCATATCTTTTCATCACACAATCGTCTGTGTAATAACTGGAATATTTTAGTGCTTTATGTATTTTGCAGAAATGTTCTAAATAGCATGGTATATATTTTTTAAGATCTAAATATTAAAATGGCACAGTATAAAACGTTTGCAAAATTTAATTAAACGTGTTTTTTAGATTAACTATGAGAACTGCATACCAAATAGGCTATTTTGATGCATGCAATAATAAATCAATGAATGCCTCTGCTGTCCCAATGTCCATCCACTATGTGGTGTGTGTCAGGCTGTCAGCATGCTGTGGGTCATTTCAGTTTAAGAGGGGAGGGCACTTCCTATTTCTCGAGCTTAAATGTTCTCAATCTGTGATTGGCTCACTGGTGAATTTGGACCCCATCGCTGCAGAAATGTGCAATTCATCAGCTCAATGAAGTTGAACACCACATAGACTTGACCTAAAGCCGGTGGAGGTAATAGTGGAGATGCTACAGTGACCCGTGTCCTATGATTCACTCAGGAATAAACGCTGACCACTGTTTTATGCTGTTTGGGGGCCCATTCAATGATCGTTTTTGTGGTGTAAACCAAGAAGACATCCTGGAGACATGGCTGAAGGTGAGGTCGTGGGTGATCTTCCAGTGGGGGGTCAGTGAAGAGTGAGAGGAATAAAGAAGAGGGGGTGGGACGGATCTCCCGCATTGTCTTTTAGATTTGGGGATGTTCACAAAGGGTACTTCCCAGAAGCCCTGGAATTTTTAAGTCGTTACCGCTAAAATGTGCCCCATTTTTTTGTTTGTTCCTTTTTCCTGGCGTCGTTAAAGTAGTATTTTTTTGTTTTACTTTTGAAATGTGGAGTAAAGTTTGAACCCTGTTTTCTGTAGTCGGGAATTATTCGGAGATTGATGGGCGAGATGGGTGAAATGGGCTCAGTTTATGAGCAATATTACACAGGTGAGCGGCCGTTTGTGATTTTTAATACTCCATGAAAGTGCACGAGTGCGCTATGATAAATTAACTTTTAGCTGTTTTAAACTTCTAGCTTATAAATAAATGATAAAGAACGCCAGGAATTTTGTTTAAACAAAATATATATTTTTTCGCCATTTTTTAAAAACAATAGGCTATGAGACGTAGCCAGTAGGCCTAATCACCGCTAAAGACGTGAAAAAGCTATTAAGCTAGGAATCTAATGCATTTATTAACTACAAAATTACATATATTTAAATTTCCATAATGGTGATTGATTAAAATAAGTAGCATATTTACTCAAAAATGCAATAAATTGGGTTATCACTTGCTCGCTGTATAAAACAGTTATTTTAATTCTTTATGTATTTTTCCTTAACCTAGGCTACCTGTTGGTTAAACTGTCCATTTACAGATTTATTTATAAATTTAGGTGAAATTATTTTTACAATACAAACAATAACTATATAATAAAATGTTTATAGAATTTGTAGTGTGTAAAACGAGCAATGAGCAAAAGAATGTTTACAAAATAAACAAACCCATATAGAAACGCATTTCGTCCACTCGTGTTTAGCTTCTGGCATTTTCTTGCCAAGCGTGATGAATTCACTTCATGTCGAAACAGCAGCGTAAGAGCTCACCGATTTGTTTTGTTCTTCCACTTTCGATAGCGCGATATACGAGTTCGTACAATTATTTGTGATTGATTCTTGTTTCGTGTTTTTATACATATAAGGTGGATGTACAAAGACAGAGGAGGAAGAAGCCGCGAGCTCCGAGGAAGACTCAGGCTCTTTTCACGGCTCTGGGGTCTGCAAATGGTTTAACGTGCGGATGGGCTTCGGATTTCTGTCCATGACCCACCGGGAGGGCATCTGTCTGGACTCACCCGTGGATGTCTTCGTCCATCAGGTATGCTGCCGTTCTTTTAATTATCCGGACCTATGCAAGGCCTTGCTGTCTCTAGAAATCTCCTGTTTCCTTACCATGGTTCAAAAAAAGGGTTAAATGCTGAAATGTTACGGAAACTGTTGGATACATTTGAATCATTTTTATATTTGAAATGTAGTCTATGTTTGAACATTAAAGTCTTCATGTAGTCTAAATGAAGTTCTTCAGTCGTTTGGCAAAGCAAACCATGTTTGTCAGAAACGATTTTAAGCTGGCTATGCTGTTATGTTTTAGCATATTTACTTGTTGGCTTCTGTATTTGGATCTGTGTTGAAGGACACTACCTTGGTGTTTGGAAAGCTGCGTTGATTTTGACCTTGTATATCCCTTGCTTTGATTTTAATTTGATCACATTATATGATGTATTTATTTCCTTAAGGTTTTCAAAACTGTTTATATTTGTTTAGTTTTTTTGTGTAAAGTAGGCTATTATGTTGGTCTAAATTACAGGAGCAGCAGTAATCCACATGCATTGGGTTACTACTAAAATTATTTATTTGGATGTACTGAATAAACCAGCTTATAATAATAAATAATAATCATTAATAATTGTTTTTTCCCCTCAATGTTAACCTCTCAACTAAATATGCAGATAACTTTAAAGCTGTCCAAAATTATATAACAATAATAATGGTAATAATTGTTCATTAAAAGAAAAATAATTAAATTGTTCAAACTGTAAATCATGATGTTTCTCCAAACATTTTTGTTTGAACTTGCTTGGATTTAAAACATTGCATTGACTAAAATTTCATATAAATGTGCTGTAACTTATACAGTTTTATTTTAAGTTTTTATTTTAAGTTTTATTTTCTAGAAGGCTTGTCTACGTTTTTATTTTTATTATTTTATTTTATTTTATTTTTTTTTACTTATAAAACCAGAAAAACAGGGAATTTCTCATGGGTCAGATTCTGTTCTTTTATTTTATTTTTACTTAAAACTAAACTAAAGCAAAGTACTTTTGAGCATAATACGAGATGAATCTTGAGTAGGGTAAATGAGGCAGAACATTTGCTAGCCTTTCTTGGACTACTTTGTAAGAAAACCGAAAACCGTTAAACCCTACTGAAAACCAAGTTCTGTAGTTCAATAGTTCATAGTTACTTGTATATGTTACTTATAAGCGTTCCTTATATTTGGTTTAGTCACTTCAAATGTTTGATTTCAGATAATTACTAGAAATCAGAAGTTTTATTTTTTGGTTATTATAAAGTTAGTTGTATCCAAGTAAATCAAACTATCCTAAAAACAGTTTGTGTTGTGAACATGGTCACAGGTTCAAGTCCAATCTCCGGCATATACTTGTTCCATGTCAGCTCTTTAATTCCACCCGTCCTGTCTGCACTGTACTTTTTTATAAAAAGGGGCATATCAAAAACTGAAATTTATAATTACAAATTTTCCTTGGATCCCTTTGTATTAGTTTGCACAAAATGCTAGTAATCCTGTTAAAAAGTCTCCAATCCTAAACACTAACCTTCTCAATCAGCAATAATTCAACAAGCTGTTGCCACAAAACAACCCGCAAGTTGGCAAACAGTGGATCACCTATCACCCGGAGCCAAAGGACCTGCTACCTCATGACTTGAGGTCATTGTGTAAAATTACCCAGAGATTAGAGCATCTTACAGGCAGCAGCCTTACACATAGTGTTAAGTGATCTCTCTGTCTCTCTTTCTGAGTAAGAGGTCTTTGGTTACCTTAAGAGTGACTGTCTGGAAGGCTGAACAGTCAGGGCTTAAAGGGATAGTTCACTTAAAAATGAAAAGTCTGTCATTTTTACTTACCCTTGAGTTGTTCCAAACCAGTTTGAGTATTTGTTTTTTTTTTTTCTGATGAGCTCAAAAGTAGAAATACTGAAAAATTCTTGAAACCTGTAGCCATTAACATCAATAGCAGGAAAACCATATGGAAGTCAATAAGTTTTCAGCATTCTTCATTGTAGTCTATTGTGTTAATCAACTAGAATCTATAAATCTGAATGTCGAAAGTCACCTATTTTAAATCCACTCAACCTTGTTGTTCAATACCTGTTAAATGTCAACTTTTCATTTTTGGAACCCCAAAGATGAGGCAAGGAATAATTGATGGTAAACTGTTGAATTATTAGAAAAATAATGTACGCGCATGATGTGGCCATTATGCAGAGCACCAAAACCATTTTTATGCTTGTACTATAGTTAATTATTAACTTTGATATTCAGATGTTGTATTCTAAGACATTTGTCCTGCACACCCTCTTTAAAGCCTTTTGATTTAAGTTTTTAACTGTGGTAGGCTGTGAAATAACAAATCATTCATAGGGATATGGAACTGTAATGCAGCCATGACCTGCATAAACTGCTTTAGCTGTGTGTTTCTCTGAAAATAGTCGCACACCTTAACATATTAACCAGCCAATCACTTATTTTGAAGAATGTTTTGATAATTTCTGTTTGTACATGTTCTGAAATGAAGGTACATACTCTGTCACTGGGATATTTCAAAAGGTACACTTTTGTACCATACAGGTGGACAATAGTACCTTAAGCGTGCATTTTTTTGTAATTTTAACATAGTATATGGTACCCATTTGTACCTAATATGTACCTTTCAAGGAGCAGTTAGGAACTAAAATGTTGCTTTTGAAAAGTAAAGAATTTAAACCTTTATTTCTAGATGGTTTATGGTCTGTTTCAGACAGTTTCTACAGTCTATAATGTCTTCAGTTGGTTCGTGTTTTTAAAAAGACATTGGAATGAGACTTGAGCAAATTAAAGAATGAACTTTTTTGGGGTTAACCAAATTTGCAAATTAGCCTATTGTTATTAAGATGCATTCAAATGTCTCATTTGACAATTTATTTATTCACACTCACAATCACTAGTGCTTAAAGAGATTTTTCCCCCAAAAATTAAACCAAAAAATACTTGCCTTCAAGTGGGTCCAAAACTTTGAGTTTCTTTCTTTTGTTGAACACAAAGAATATATTTTGAAGAAAGACGTTACAATAAAATGCAAACTATCCATTTATGTTATACAAGCACTATTGCATTAACAACCCCATATTACAAAGCATAAGTGAACAGGAAAGTAAGCAAACAAAAAAATAAAAAGGCAACAACAGATCTCTGTACTGTTGTGATCCATGTTGGTGCAACCAAAGAAAATATGAGCATTTTGCTTGTGTGATTTCAACTGCCTCAGGAATGGTCAAAAGTGAAGAAGATCAAACAGTTTAGACTGTTTATTGGTGTCGTCCATATGTTATAAAACTGAAAATTACATTCTAAAGGGATAGTTCAACCAAAAATGGAACAAAATATTGAAGATTTTTGGAAATCTGTAACATCTGTAATTTACAGTGTTGTTCAAATATATATTTTTTGTTCAAACTGGTTTGGAACAAGTCAAACGTGAATAAATGAAAGAATTGTTGGGTGAACTATCCTTTAAAACATTTTTTACAGGCGGCATATTTTGCCAACGCTTCAGAACAAAATTTTTTTACTTTGTGATTTTGACTTAAGGACGGTTTCTGATTATGACCTACGGAAGGTTTCTGGACATTCTTGGCAGGTTAGCTATTGACATCCACAAAGGCATCAGTTCTCAAACTTACCTGACGACTACTTTGGATGTATTGATAAAACTCAAGCTGGGTGACTGTCAAGGGAACTACCAGGTTAAAAAAACAAAACAATGGCTGTCATTGTCTATCTAGCGGGAGGAAATCCTGCCTTCCTATTAAATTAGAGAATCACCAAATAAATGGCTTTTATGTGCAGGGATAACCAAAAAGAGGCTTAGATGAAAAGAGATTTCATAATTAATAGGCAAAAAGAGATGAAAGGCGTGCAGAAAGAGAATGTCAAGAATGAAAACCAAAAGATTGGAGCAAGGGGGCTGGGAGGAGGGAGGGAACCTTTTGGGGGAGGGGGTTGTTAGCTCAACTCATTCATAAAAATACTCTGTAGTAAAAGAGGAGGGCAAGTTGTAGAGAAGGTCAAAGGATGGAGCCGTGGATGGTTCCAGGAAGTGTTGTTGGGGGTTGGGAGGCCAAAGTGTGGTCCACCGCAGACTTCTCACTTGGGGTTGGCAAAGCTACTTTGTAATTATCAGCCTCTTAACAAGCTACACGTTAACCATTCTAACTGCTTTTCACCACTCAATGCAATGAAGTACATATTATGCAAATGATACAGATGACTATTTTTTAACATTTATCTGAAATCTTTTGTAATTTTTGTTTTTAAAGTGTTTAAAGCAATTTTTTACCTGGCGTGGTAAACTTGTTGCTTGTTTTAAACTTCCTGATCTGCTCTTGTGATGCGGAGTTCTGTGAACTGCACTGTTAGACAGTTTATAATCATTTATTTTGCTGTCAGTTTTTAATTGGTTGTTTCATTAAAACAGTGATTGCACTTTAATATCATTACTTGTTACATGTAAATAAAACTTTAAATGGCCTGAAAGCTTGCTCTGATTTATTATTTTTGATCAATTTAAACAGTTATAAAAAATAGCAATAAATAAAATATATTTATGTATTTTTCTTTTTACCTGGAGTTTTTTTTTTTCATTAAAGCAAAAATGCATAAACTTATTTTGATTTGTACTAGGATTTAATAACTAAAATATCAATGTTAGCTCAGATTGTATTTGTTTTTATTTGTTTATATATTTTTATTTTATTTTAGTGATTAAGTTTATTTAACCAGGAAAATGTTTTTTTTTAAATATATATATATATATATATATATATATATATATATATATATATATATATATATATATATATATATATATATATATAATTTTTTTTTTTTTTTTTTAATTTTTTTTTTTTTTCTTAAGTGTGACCTCGTATATGACCTTACATTTTTTTTGCTTTGTGAGGACTTTACCTGGTCAATTTAAGACTGCTGTAAAATATCCTTTTTGCCTTAAATCTTTAAGCTGAATCAAACTAACCTTATGAGTCCATTGAACTTACTGACTTTAAAATATCTTGTATAATATCTTGTAAAATATCTTTTTTATTCTAGTGTATTGTGCTCGACACTGCTTTCAAACTATAAAGCATTAGAATATGCCATATAATACATAACACACATGCTGTGTGTGTATACTGTGGCTTTTTATTCTCAATGTTACAATAAACTCTCAACTGAATATTGCAGAGGGAGCTTTAAATCCATTCATAAGTTGTTTCCTCATCTGTGAAGAAAAACATGGAATCCACTTGGTATGGGCTGATATAAGATTCTGACTAAATGATAACCTTGGATAAAAATATCATGGCTTCACGGTATTGTGATTACTGCTCTAAAATATATTATTTTTAAATGTCTGGGTAAAAAACAAAAACTTTTCCCCCTTTTGAACACAATGTACTTTATTTTAAGAAACATTTAAAGTATTTTAAAACTGTAAACATGTCAGGCTAAATAATTTAAATGAATCATTGATTTCTGCTGTCATCATTAGTTTCAAAAACAGATTTCTTTACTATTTAAAATTACACATTTGGATCTCTTTTCAGCTGGAGATGTTGTTCTAAAACAAAAGAAAAAAGGCTTTTATGTACAGTTGAAGTCAGAATTATTAGCCACCCCTTTGATTATTATTTTTTTATTGTTTTTTTAAATATTTCCCAAATATATTTAACAGAGCAATGAAATAATATTTTGATATTTTGTGCTCTGAAGAAAGTCTTATTTGTTTTATTTCGGCTAAAATACAAGCTGTTTTAAAAAAATTTAACACCATTTTAAGGTTAAAATTATTAGCCATTTTAGGCTATAAATATTAATAGTCTACAGAACAAACCATCAGTATACAATAACTTGCCTAATTACCCTAACTTGCATAGTAAACCTAATTAACCCAGTTAAGCCTTGAAATGTCACTAAGCTGTAGTTGAAAAATATCTAGTAAAATATTATTTACTGTGTTATTACTAAACAGAGGGGCTAATAATTCTGACTTCAACTGTACCTTAGGAACAATAATAGGACATTTGGGCAGTTTTAAAACCTTGACTGTTCCATAGCGCTCTATACCTTGAAAACCGTTACCGTCCCATGTCTAGAATCCTCTGCTACTAAACATTTAATGTTTTTACTTTTATCTAGAATGCTTGCTTTACCTGTTGTTATTTACATGTACATTGTGCCTGATTCTGCAGAGTTTTCCCAATTTAGCAAAGACATACAGGTTTAGAAAGATTGAGAAAGGAATATTGTGTGTGATACTGTGTGAACAGTCTAGTGTTTTTGCTGTCAGAAAGAATGTGTGGAATTTATTACTGACCATTAAGTTTAATGTGTAAAAGACTGAAATCAGTCTTTTAAGGCATGTCCTGATCGGAAGATAAGCAGCCGTTATTATTAGGACTGTTATTACGGTACCATCACAAACACCGCCAGCTTAGCTGATTGATCTGTAAACACCATCACTGGGGTTAATTTGATACGGTGAGCTCACACATACACCAAATAGTCAGTTTTTTTTTTTTTTTTTTTTTTGCTCTCCAAGTGGTTGTTTAAGACTTCAAGCGGAAGGTTGTTTTTAAAGGTAGATCCTTTCTCAAGCCCCATTTCCACGCGCCTATAGAGCAAGTATCTCAGGAATGCGAGCTTCCCCCACCTTTTCTTGCAGAAAACCCTCAGCACCGATGAGCCAGGGTGAGATGTAACCAGATGGCTTTATTTTAGGGCTCATCCTCCCAGTCATTTCAGTGCAGTTTTTTTTTTTTTTTTTTTTTTTTTTTTTTTGCAAAACAGTTGTTATGGTAGGGATTTAAAATGTTCAGATATATTGTTTAATGTAATTTCTGGTTAGATTTTGGGACCTCAGATTCAGATATAGCCATACATTGATAAAGATCTTGAGTTAATTGATGGAGAGATGGAATGAGGAAGCCATTTTAATGGGAGTGATTTGAAGAGGTGGTTGTGACTCTGCCAGAGTGAATGGGATGTTGAAAGCAATGTTGGGGGCAGGGAAGATGACGTTTTTACCAGTTCTCACCAAAATACAGTCTTATGTTGACAACATGGGTTTTAATTGAGTGTTTTTATTTTTCTAAATAATTCATGCATAAAACTTTCAGCTAAAATTTGTGACAGTTTAGAAGATAAGCATTTATAGAAAGTAATTTAATATAAAGTTTATATAATATATCTTTGACATGCACAAAAAATGAAAACCATTAGCCCTTAAGGGTGTTATTTTGTGTATTATTTATTTAATTACAAATATATAAAATGCCCCTAATATATTTTAATAAGTATCGAACCGTACAAATTAAATTAACAATTTTTTTTTCTTACTTTAATCAAACTGAATTGTATTTTAAATAACTTAAAAGCCTTGTTATGTAAAACCTGGTGTTTTTTTTATGTATACTGGGAAAGTATAAAGATTTACAGTTTTTCTAAAATCAAAATTAGCAATGCTCATTTTACTAGTTTTTGTATTTGGTGATGAACAAATAATGCTAGCAAGTTAATCTACTGGGGGGGGGGGGGGGGGGGGGGGGGATCTGATCAATCTGATCATTTGCTTTGGAGTACAGATCTTTGCCTATGGATGACTGTTTAACTGCTAAATAAAATCCCCGGCCCTCTAAAATATTCAGTTTTAGTTGGAAGTACAACATTTAACGTCATAAAAAATATCTAGCAACTTCCTTTTCATGTGGACTTTAATATTACAGTAAATTAGTATTTAGATTTAAAATGTGTTGCGTCATCAAATGCTGCTTGTTGTAAATCGGTCTCAAAAGCTGTATCTATTTTTTGGTGAGAATGTTTACACAATGATCATTATCTGTAAATCTTGATTTAATTATAAGAGAAAACATTCTCATGTATGACAAAAAAAGTAAGACTATTTCATTGCTTTTATGGTGAAAACATTAGTTTTAAAATTCACAATTAAATATAAAAAATATACTATTTTTAAATTTTGATAAATACTGTGTTTGACATCTCTGCAGAGCAAGCTTCATATGGAGGGTTTTCGCAGTCTGAAGGAAGGAGAAGCAGTGGAATTCACCTTTAAAAGATCCTCTAAGGGTCTGGAGTCCTTACAAGTGACGGGGCCTGGAGGGGCACCATGTGTGGGCAGCGAGAAGAAACCTAAGGGTACCCAAAAGAGGCGGTCAAAAGGAGATCGGTGAGTGTCTTGCTCTGTTGCTGCTATTTTACTGTTTTATTCATTTGATCAATCAGAGTTTTTCCGAAATGCTGGCCCATTTTCCAGATCTTATATTAGGTTAATGCAGATATACAATATATGTACATCCTTTTACAGAAAGCGCTCTAAAACGTATTTCAGTCAGTGTAGCAGTATATACGCTCAAACATTTATTTTTGAAATGCGTTCAAACTAATTTAAAATGAGCTAAATCAATAATTCCTGAGGTTTAAAATGAATAGTTTTATGTTCAATTCACTTAAAACTTTAAAACAATCAAGTTAACTTAATCAATTTGTGTTGGGGCAGCATGAAGGAACTGTGAGGAACCCAGCATTTTTTTTTTTTATTTTTTTTTACAATGCAACAATCATCTTACATTTTCAACAAGAATCATTTAATGATATTAAAAGACCCTGTTTAAAGTCCATGTGAAATTAATCATGTTTATTTTGTGCAAGTTAATCCACAAAAAAAAAAAAAAAAAACGTAATCTTGTTGTTTTTTTGGTTTTGGTGATCTTCAAAGTCTGACCATTTGCTTCTGCATTTGTTGTGGTGGTCCTTCTCTGTTGACATCAGTTTGATGACTTCAGCCACATTATTCTTAACCACATCCCTCTTACTGTTAGTTTGCTATGAGAGAATGGTATGCAAAAATTCGGATTCACGCAAGCTTAAAAGATTTTAGCACAGCCTGCAAAAAAAAAAAAAAAAAAAAAAAAATATATATATATATATATATATATATATATATATATATATATATATATATATATATATATATATATATATATATATATATATATATATAGAGAGAGAGATTTTAAATGTTTATACTTTTATATCTTTTCATATTAAATACCAATATATTTTAAAATGTAAAAATAGTAGTAATTATACAAACTTGTATTTAAATAAGTACAGGTCACATAAGGCCCAAGGTGTTTTTTTTTCATGCATTTTTTTTATTTCTCTTTGCTATTTTGGGTTTTTGAAACCTTATTAGAATAAAAACCTAAGTATTATATTTTGATATGATGCACTTTTAGAAAAAAAAATATGTCCATATATGTGGACTCGTGGTCCGAATTTACATAAAACACTTTTTCCTGACTGTTTTGTAATTTATATTTAATATAGAAAATTGTTTGACTATTGTTTTGACTATCAAAAAGTAAAAACAACATTTTTCCCCATTTTGGACAGTTAAAAATAGTGTTTGGAACATTTCATATGCTGCAAAATATTAAACATTCAAAGTGTTTTAAATAGCCACTTAAGAGCTAAAATGTGCTGTCCACGTATTTGGACACTCAAGCCCTAGGAGGTTAATTTTGGGTTGTGGTATTTTTACACATGTAGACCAGTACAATAACATTTATTTTATTTGCCTATTTTTATTTCCAAAAATTCTTAGAAACTTTTTTTTTTTTTTTTGTGCTAGATGTGCTTTTAAATATATACAGTCACATTTGTAAATTTAATTTGACAAAAAGAAAAAAATATATGTTTTGTGACCCTTATATGAACAAGATCTCACATTGTTATGCCTCAATATTTTGTGAATGGGGCCATAAGCATGCTAATGTAAAGATACATTTTGTGAACCCAATCACAGGTGGGCAACTCTTAGTGCAGGCATGAATGAGGTGCAAAGTGTTTTGAGCTTATTCACTTTTGACCCCATTGAGGCCCTGTTCACACCTGGTATTAGGATGTGTTTTCATTGATCTGACCATAAGTGGATGCAGACCCATTATTGTTTACACCGTGTTTTTAAATGTCTCGTCCACTTTAAACCAACGACAAGGGAGGGTTTGTGTGTGTGGGTATTTCTTTTAATCTAATATTGTGAAGGCTAATGGAATTTTCATACTGTCTTCATAAAGTGTTAAATTGATCTGATACTTTTAACAAACTATTTTTGCATTGATTTAATGCAGTTATAGGTAATAGATTTTTTTTTATTTCTAAACAACTACACTGTTTGTTTTGCAGATTTAACATGTATATATGCTTATGTTTTTATAAAATTGGTGAAGCAAATATATTTTAGGAATTGAAAGCAATTAAATTAGGTGTCTTTTGAGTCCGATCAGGAATTGATCACGTCAAAGCAATCCAGTTTACTGCATTTGTGACAACAACTCAATGTTTTAAGTGCACAAGTGTGTAAATCACAACCTCAGTGTGTTGAAACTTCACTAGATTCATTGTAGAACTTTGAAGGAAAGAACACTTATCATGTGGAGTATTTTAAGAGGGAATGACTGTGTGGTGGTTAACTGCATCTGCATTCATCACAGTGCTTAACAATCAGTTTATTTACGCCCTTATTTTGGGATCTTTCGATATAAAAATTTTTGCAATGCATTGATTAATGACATGCTGTTTCCTAATTCGCATGCTTATACTAGGCCCTAAAAGTATGTTCTGTTTTTCTATTCTTTTTTTTTTTTTCTTTTTTTTGTAAAGGAAAAATATATACTTTTGAGTTTGTAACAGATGAGTATGCAAGTTTGGGACACACTACTTCCTTGTTAACAGATCCTTATGTTGCTTGGTTATGATCCCTGTCAATCGTCCACACATCATTCACATTTCATTCATACTTAATTTCCTACCTTATTGAAGAAGCAGCAGCTGGATAATATGTCAAACAAGTCTTTATATAAGTTCACATTCTTGTTGCAGATTAAATATAACACGGAAAATGTGATTTAAATATAGCCAGAGGGCTAGATATTATTAACAGTCATACAAACATCTTTACTGAAGCCTCTTTTTCTACTTGATGATTGGTTTTGCACATCTACCATGTTTGTAGTTTATTTGCACTTTTCACCCGTGTTTGTAGTTCTAATCAAATTCACGGCAAACATTGTATTGTAGGCAATATCAGTAGTTAGAATATGTATTGAAGAAATTGAGTCCCCCTGCAAACTGGGTCCGCCTTGGACCCTGGATGATTCTATTGGTTCACTGGAGTTGTAATAGGTAGAGTTTGTTGTGCCTGATTTAAATAAAATAATACAAAATTATGCCATGAGGACAGTACATAATATTTGACTAGATATTTTTAAGACACTTCTATACAGCTTAAAGTGACATTTCAAGGCTTAACTAGGTTAATTAGGTTAACTGGGCAGGTTAGGGTAATTAGGCAAGTTAATGTATAACGTTGTTTAAAAAAAAAAAAAAAAAAAAAAAAACAGCTTAAAGTGGCTAATAAGTTTGTCCTTAAAGACTTTCTCCAGAAGAAAAAAATATTATCGGACATACTGTAAAAATTTCCTTGCTCTGTTAAACATCATTTTGGAAACATAAGTTTTGATTGCCTAGACGTGCTACTACTTGTGTAAATACATGTTACATATAAATACATAATATCAAAAAAAGGCATCATTTAATGTTTACAAACGTTTAAATTATTTTAACTATGCATGTCTTTAACTTGTCATTATCGATAATAATGTTACTAATATGATTAGTCTTTTTAAAATCTCAAGCTTGTGAATGGACTATAAAAAGCACCAAATATGATTATAATTTTACTGTGGAGAAGTAGAATATAGCTTTTGATCAGGTATTCAATGCAGACGATCCCTTGGGGTCCTAAGTGGACTCGATTGCAGGGGGACTCGATTCCACATGACACTGGCATATTCTCTTCAACATACTATGATTTGGGACATACTAATTCTATTTTTAAATACTATTTAGGATAGAAAGTATGTAAATTGGGACACAGCAACAGTCTCTTTTCAGCATCTAATGTGTAACAATATACAAGTCAGTCACAATCAGTAGTGCAAAAATGAGTTTCAATACCAAATACTTTTATTAAATGTTAATATCATTTATGTAAAATATTTGAGCATAATTCTTAGCGATACATCAATATGGTATAAGGTCCAAATCTATGCAACTGTAAATGATACCAAATAGCAATTGAGAATAAACACATTTTACTGGATTCTCCTGCTTTTAATGATTCCAGAAGACTTTTTTTTTTTTTATGAAATGAACTGACTTAAGGACGTTTTTAGCAAATTGACACCAGAAGAAAAGTTTAGAATTTTAACACAAAAAAATCGTATTGAATTTATGTATTTATTTGTTTGTTGATTTTTAATTGTATATCTATTATTGAAATGTTTTGTCATGAAAATAGCTTTGGTTGCTGACATCGCATTAAATAAAAAAAATACATTACATTACAACAGCATTTGAGAAAAGAAAAAATGAAAACATCAAAAAAAGCTGGGAGAAAAATCGATTTATTTGAAGCATTGATTTTTTTTTTTCTCTAATGATTCTAAATATGTTGTCAAAAGTTCAGAACAAGTCTATCTTCAAATTAGATTGCTGTGTTGCAGGCCTGAATTGGTGCATGCTGTAAAAAAAATATATAAGTGTTGACTGGTGCATGATTTTTTTTTTACTTGGACAATGATGGACGCACTTATGAATTTTAAAGATGTGGTGCAGCGCTGCACTTCTCTTCCACTGTGCAATCAGCTTGAGAATCACTGAAGAATAGAGACAGGATGGCATTAAAGTGATGCATGGACATTACCTTCAATTATCTACAAGCAAAGTTTATGAATTGTGTGTCACTTTTGGGTTTGTAAAAAGAAAGTGATCTACAGAACAATGTTGCAAACAAGATGACTACTGTGTTTTAAATCTAGTTCTTTACTGCTCCTTGGACTCTGGCATTTCAATGTTAAATTTAGAGCTTGTTGATGCTGAATATACATTTGTTACTAAAATCCTTTCTAGCCTGGCAGTACTGTCTGTCATACTGTATGTGGAATCGAAGTATAAACAAACTCCAATTCTGATTAAAATGTAAAGTTGGAAAGCTCAATAATTATTTTGGAGTTATATTGTGACTCCCAGAATGAGAATCAAATCTGATTAAGCCCCTAAAGATTCCCACCCCATACTAAAAAGCCAGAAAAAAATCATGCC